GGATGAACTTTTCATTCCCTTGTGATCAAAATTTCAGACTTGACCTTTCAATTCGGTCAAAGCCAATATGTGCAATAGAACTTCATTCTATTACACATATTGGGTGTCCATTTGTTGACCTCATTTTTGTATGAGGTCGCTTGGACCAATCCTGACCCCAGATCAATTTAATTTCTAGAAGAATCTAGACTTTAGGATCCTCCTAGAATCTAGACCTTAGGATCTATTCTAGATCCTAGGATCCTTCTAGACTCCAGACCCTAGGATCTACTCTAGACCCTAGGATTCTTCCAGACCAATCTAGACCTTAGGATCCATCTAGGTCCTAAGATTCTTCTAAACTCCAGGTCTTAGGATCTATCTAGACTTCTTAAATCCCTCTAGACCCAAAGCTTAGGATTCTCCTAGATCTTAGGATTCTTCTTGACTCCAGACCCTAGGATTAATCCATACTCAAGATCAACCCATACTTTAAATCAATTTCTGCAAAACTTAAATCAATCTAGATCTCAAGATAATTTCAGCTTATGATCAATCTAGACTTTAGTTCAATCTGAATCTAAGTCAATCCAGATTCAAATCCATTTTGATTTCAAACCCATTCAAGCTTCAAATCAATCTCAATCTTAAGTCAATCGAGATCTTCAATCAACCCCAATCAACACATATAATTATTAAGTGATCAAAGTTAAACCCAATTGACTTCAAATTCAAACTCCTTAAATTTAGTGATCTTCCCTGCTCTAGGGAAAATTATCACTAAAATTCAAACCCTTAAGTTTAGTGATCTTCCCTGCTCTAGGGAAAATTATCACTAAAATTCAAATCCCTTAAGTTTAGTGATCTTCCCTGCTCTAGGGAAAATTATCACTAAAATTTGAACCCTTTAAACTCCTTAATCAAAATTCTTGAGTTTAAACCTTAATTGAACCTCAAAACCTTCCTAAAATTTTAATAAATCACATTTAAATCCAAAATTATGAATAACCCCTCTAACTGATCAGATTTGAATCCTTAACACATTAAAATTAAAATCAACCAGATTTGACTTCAAATTTGAGAATAATTTAATAATCTTTAAAATCTGATATTTAATTAAATTAATTAATTAATAATAATTTAAAATTTCAGAAAATTCCTAAACACTTGGGAATCTATCCTTGGGTTGTTCATGACCTTTGGAGTTGATTACAAGGAGTTTGGAACTCAATTGAATTCAAAACATCAAAACTTCTCTAATTAAGACAATTAAATAATTCTAATAAATGATCAAAACTTTAAAAATTCATAAATAATTCAAATAAACTCAAAATCAACCAAACTTAAAGGCATTCAACTCAAATGGAAAACCATGGGATCTTGACCGGGGGCGTCATACCCACTTGGTAGGTTAGTCTCCACCCTTACCTCCTGGGCATTCTCCCGATCTGGTGATCGAGAATATAAGTCCCAACTTTCTAATAAAATTGACAATTCAAACTTAAATATCTTTCAATCAAATTCGAGCCCAACACTTAGGATAGGCTGAGATGTTTTCTGAAGTAATTCAGAATCTCAAACATCTCCTACCCTTCTTCCTTTGACTCTAAAAATAAGTGTTCAATCTTGAACCATCCCTCTTGAAATTCCAATCCTTACCTCCTTTGATATCGAGCCTTGAAAACCTAAATAATATTTTATACCGCTATTTTAATCGAGAGTTTTCGTAGGAAAATTCTAATTTTCCCGCGATGTAATTAACTACGAGGTCTTGCGCTCGTAGGAGATTTAGAAACCCAGATCTAATTTTCAAAAATCTTTAATTAGTTATTTTTGGGAAAGTACAATGATCGTTATCGTCATTCTCAAACAATCGATAATGATTGATATCTTCTTTCTTTGGAGAGACATATCAATTATTATCGTGGATTTGATTATGAAATTAATGATCTTTCATCCAAATTAGCATAGTCAAACAATTTTGAGTTTGACTATGATAATTTGGATAAGTTTAAAGTTTTGAAATTTGAACCAATTAGTGAATGATATTCTCCCGTTTGAGATGATATATCGTTCCTAATGTTGTGTTAGATTTCAAAACTAAAATTTAAAATTTAATCTTCCCAAAAATAATTACATATTTTTCAAAACTATATATATATATATATTTTTTTAATCAAAATATGCCACTAGACCTGCCACTTAGTGGATCTTGACCTTAGAGCCTTATATATATATATATATATATATATGTGTGTGTGTGTGTGTGTGTGTATATTTTTTTTAATCAAAATATGCCACTAGACCTGCCACTTAGTGGATCTTGACCTTAGAGCCTTCTCCAAACCTTCTGATCAGATCTAGACCCTTGATTATGACTTATTAATATTAAATTACATTTTTTGGACCAAATTTGACCCCCAGTTGACCAGGGGTTAGAATGACCAAAATACCCCATAGGGGTTTAAAAAGTCATTTCAAACTAAATGGCCTCCAAAGTGTATGGGACCACCTCCAATAGACTTAAAATATTAAACCAAACTTGTTGAATCAAGACCTAGACCCTGGGTCAACTTGATTGACCAAGTTAACCAGGGTTGACCCAAAATAGCCATTTAAGGTCTAAATAGTCATTCTGATCATTTAGACCATTTTGACCCTTCAAACCACCTCCACCAGACTCCAAATATCCAATCAAACCTACTGAGCCTAGACCCAGACACTATATCAATATGGCTGACCAATTCAAACTGGGTTGACCAGATCATCCCTTAAGCTCTCATACTTTTAATTAAGCCCTAAATATGGATCAAACTCATTCAAATCTCATTCAAATCCCCTTTATTACTTCCCTTAGAGATTTGGACAAACCAATCATTAGTTGAATTGGTTAACCAAACCTCTATCTTGTCAAATCCTATCAACGTAAGGATCATTTATTACATACAATCAAATTCCATTCAAGTAACTTTTTAAACTCCTAAGATCATTCAACCAAATATCTTGAATATATTCAAACCTGGCATGAGTCACATCAATATGCGTTTGACCAAGTCAACACCTTAAACTTAGTCAAATTTCCATCCTTAGGTCAAATCCTTTTATTTGATCAAACCAACATCTTCAAACTCTCAATCTTATTCCAAGCTAAAGTTTAAGCATATTCAAACCCATTTGAAATCAAACCATGGTTCATTTTGACTTGGTCAAACCCATTTAAAACCCCATACATTATCTCAAACTCCAACCTCATGTATTAACCTTCATTCCATCTAATGCGTGATGCCACCTTGTATCCCACATCAGCTACCTTGACCCATTGACTGGTCAAACAGTCAATGGAGGGTCAAAGTATCCTCCAAATGCTTTAAACCTTTGATTAAATTCCTTGAGCCCAAATCTTATTTAACTCTAACTATTCAAATAGTATCTAGAACCTTCTTGTACTCCATCCAGGCCCTTGGATCAAGATCCAACAGTCCCTAGCCATCCCACATGGTTACTAGGTAACAAAATAAGCTTTCCACATGGCATGTCCTTATTGTCCTTTAATCCTCTACTCCAATAACTCCCATGACAAATGGCATGCATCAGGGGAGGCCCCTAGTTGATCTCAGCCATCCATTTGGCATGGAGATAATTGAATAGGGAAAAAATACCAAAAAGTTATCATTCAATTCTAGCTCTCTAAGTGAATACTCTATTCTTTTGGGCTCTTTAGAGACTCCTTCACATAAAGCCCTAACATAAAGCCATACTTTGTCCAAAGCCTAAATCCCTAGATCCGTTGTGTTTCGAACTACTATTTCTTCAAGGGAATTTAGCGTGGACAGCCTACAATCTCAACCAAATCATTTGCCTGCAAATCCAACAGTAAAATTCCTTTAAAACTCTATGTTACTTTATTTAGGTTTAATTAGCTTTTTATTAAGTGATTTTTCAAGCTGTTAAAAGTATACCCCATATTTTATGCTTATTAACTTAACCTAAGTTTAAAATTTCATTGAATTTGGTCCATCCGATCGAGCAAATGGGACAAAAACCAACTCTAGGGTTTATTCGTAATGTATGCTTGATGTATATTTTTTGGACCATTGAACGCATGATCAAAGGTCCAGATCAAGTCGCTCCACATCTTTGACTAATCGCAGATCTGTTCATGCAGTTGATCTCTCCATCTGGCTCAATCAGGGCTGTTCATTTCAAACCACGGTGCATCCGACACTTAGCATTGCACACTGACATGGATAAGTGATACCCAATCATTGCTTGGTAGTTTAGAGCAGCGAATGGAAGCTCGCCATGTGTCTTGCCGCAGCTGTCGTGCCGCTATTTTCTTCTAAATTCAATTTAATTAGTTTTAATTATAATTAATTGATAGAAAGCTTCAAAAAACTATTAAAAATTAAATATAAAAAACATTATAATATATCAAAATGCTTAGTTAACTAAATCCTTTAATTTAAAATAAATATTTATTTAAAATATTAAATATAATTTAAATTATTTTAAATATTAAGTATTTTTAATTAATATTTGATTAAAAATAATTTAAAATATTAAAATTTTAAAGTAATATACTTTGAAATATTTTTTATCTTTCATAAAATATTAAAAAAAAATTATATCAATGTAATTTAAAATTTATATTAACAATATTTAGCCGACCCCACGTAGTGGGACAAAGGATTGTTGTTTTTGTTGTTGTTTTATGAACATTATTTTCAAATTATATTAAAATATTTTAAATCTTTTAAATATATTAAATATCATAAATTTCAAATATTATGAATAAAATTCAAATTAAATTAGGAATTTTAATTAATATTTTGAAATCAAGTTATTCAAAATTTAAAACATTTTATTTCAAGACAAACAAATTCACACAGGAATATATATGATAGGATAAAATTATATTTAAATTTAAAATTAAATTATCATATTATTATATTAATTTTATTAATTTTTAATAATTTATTATTTATTATATCATTGTATTCCGGAATCCGAACCCATTGCACACGACTAACTTCATTGAAGTACAAAAGTCTAGTCCCGACTGTGCCTCACGCCTTCGGTGGTCGGCACAAAACGAACAACGAGCTCACGAGGGCCGGAGAGACGGAGAGAAATGGCGAGGAAACTCTATGTTCTTACTGCGCTATTTCTTCTGATCTTCTTATCATCCTTCGTTCCCTTGTCCATAGCTTCTCCCAAGAAGAAGGCGCCCCCCTCTGCGGCAAGGAAGGAGGACATCCAGTACATCAAGTGCCAAGTTTGTGAGAAGATCGCTCAACAGATCTACAACCAGGTTAAGGGAAAGGAATCCAAGATCTCGCCGAAGAAGGTTATCGATCATGCGTTTTCTTCGCTGTCTTCTTTCATCTGATCCGACTGTTGACTGTTTGCCTTATGGTGGTTGTGACTAGATATCCGAATACGAGGTGATTGAGATAGCGGAGAATGTTTGTAATCTGAAGAAAGCGGAAGCGGACTGGATTCTTCAGATCGACATCGTGGAGAAAGGGGATAAATTAGAGGTAAAGGAAAGGAACATATCGTGATATTTCAATTTGATTATGATCCAGATATTGTGTTTTTTTGTGTTCCTTATTTGTTTTGATTTGCGCTGCAGCTTGTGGAGCAGGGAGTAGAAGGGCAATGTAATTCTGAGTGCAAAACAATTGAGCGAGCATGTCAAGAGGTAATTTCATCTGATTCATCGATTGTTTGTAAGAAAATTGTATTTTTCAGTGTAGAATAGACTGCTTTGGCGACTATTTGTTGTTTAGCGCCAATATCATTTCGATTTGGAATTGAATCTGCGTCAACTATAATTCTAATATTTTGATTCACACTCTAGCCGAGTTTAAAGTAGATTTAGAGTCAACCCATCTAATTGACTCAATATCATTTTAGAGCAGGTTTGAAATTCATAAGGACGACCTCTCCAACTTGCCAACCTGGCTGGTTCAAGGCAATAGCCCAGTTATAAACCTACTTAGCAATTATTTGACCAACTTAAGATCAATTCACAAAATAATTTGCAACTGCATTTCAAAACCATGTTTATAATTGAATAATATAAAATTTTGAATTGAATATTGTTTTAAAATATGCAATTACTAGATAATGTTTATGATGCATGTAACACTCAAGGATATATTTCTCTATTAATAATTAGTTCATTTCATCCCAAGTAGTTCTAGGCACGTTATCAAATCTTTCCCTTTGTTTTCCGTACTCATTTAGTACATTTTAGCTCGCTAAATTAATTTAAATTTTGCAAATATTACGTGACGCTCACCTTAACATCATCTCTCTCTCAAAGAACTTGTCCATATCCATTACCTAGTAAATAAACATAGGGTTATTTTTTTCTATCATTGTAGATGCTTCAATTTTAACTTTCTTAGTCATATCATCTATGTCATAATGTGGATTTTTATGATTTCCATAAGCTTAATCATCACGTATGTTGCACTGATACGGGTACGGCGACACGGATACAACACGGTATAGATACAGTGCACATCAATTCTTAAAAATGTAGGATACAAGGACGGTGCGAACACGGCATTATAATTTATATATCATACATAAAAATTAAGAAAACAATCAAAGCATAATATTTGAAATGACAAAAAAAAATGAAAGCAATATCATTTGTAGCCTTGTAGCTTATAATATCAAAATAAAAGTTAGCATTGAGTCAAGGGAAGAGTTAAAACTCATTGCCTAATAATAATCTTGTGGCATGATTCTACTAATTATGTTGTTGCATGATTTGGTGGCATGTTTACTGAATAACATATGAGAGCTAAACTTTTTTTTCCGTTTAAGAAGACATACAAACCACAATAACAATATTTTTTTAATACATGAAACAAAAGTCAAAGCATTACAAATGCAAAATAATTTGATGCCTTAATATCCTATTTTCTGGTAAACTAACATCAATGTAAATGGCTCGCCGGTTTGAAAATGAGAGAACCTTACTTGCAGTCGCGGAAGTAAATATGACACGTCTTTTTTTCGAATTTTTTTCTTCTTTCAACGGACACGCATATCGGATACTTGTTTCCTTTTGAAATTAAATAGTATTTTAATTGGATACGATTTTGACGTATTCGACATGTATCGGTGCGGTATCAGACACGTATCCCTGTCCGACTCGTATCCGATACAGCACGCCTTCATAAATAGGTGTATCGGTGCAACATAGATCATCACATACACCCTATAATATCCATCTTGATTTTTTTTATCTTGCCAAGAATATCTTGTCTCCAAATTGTGTTAACATTCAAGTAGATAGATCCATTATTTTAATTAGATTCAACTTTTTTAATCGGTTAGTTTCCAAAGCATTAATTTGCTTGTACACTTGCGTTCTGTCTTCAATCATTTTATTTTACTTGTTCCGTAATTCAACCAATTAATGTTGCAAAGTTGTCAAATCCATTTGATGATTTGTTCATTGTAATTGACATTGAGGTCCATTTTTAATTGACATTTTGACCATCATTAAGCTCTAACACTATATTTGATGTTGGATGTCTTAGGGTCTAGGATTTTATAATGTATATCTAGCGTGAGATATAAAATCTCACGAACAATCAAATTTAAATCCATAAACTTTTAATGCGGGCAAAAATTCATTTGTTGTCAAAAATAGATAATACAAAAAATTCATCTCAAACTATGACTTAATGATTGTTCAATTATAAGTTTCAAAAGAAGTTTAGGATAAAAAATTGCACTTTGATCAAGACTTACACCACAATCATAAAATCTATATTGTAATATATTTGAACGAAATGAATCATGTTTGAAAACAATTATGCAAACAAAAACGTAACTATGTAAGAATTTATTGAATTAGAGGTCTATATCTCATGCGAATATAAGGAGAGACTTCTTTCAAAAATTAACTATCAATACGTGCTCAACACTCGAAGAGCTTGTATGCAACCAACATGCTAGTTTTGGAGGAGTGTAAAAGTTCAATTAAGTAATATCCCATTTACATACATCAATAATCCCATATTAATAATCATTCAAATCCCAAATTTGCAAGTCTTGAATTCCCTAAAAATTGTTGAAATGTCATTATATGTTATAACAGTTGATCTTATAAAACTGAAATCAATTAAAAGCATATTGGTATTTGCTATCAAAATTCGATCTTGTAGATTTGAAAGCCATAGTATTCTCTAGTTATTACATTAAATATATTCATCCAAAAATCAATCTTGAAATGCAAGTCCACCAATTCATGAAAATAGAATTTGCAATTAGAAGATATTTATAGGGATCATTCTTGACAAATCTTGAAATCCTTAAGGATTCAAATCAACAATAAATTCTAACATGAAGCGAACTAATAATAATAATGAATACATTTCCCTCGTATTGGAAATTGATAGGAAACCCTTGTAGATCTCAAGCAAATTTTATAAAAATATGAATCTCAGCGAGACTTCACCACAAATCTCCAATCAAACTCATGAAAAACAACAATTACATTAGAAATTGATGAAAACAGAAAGAAAATGACAATATACAATTGATCCTCTATTTGAGAGGAGGATCTTTCTCTCCTAACTCTCTAGATGCCGCTAGAGCCCAAGAACACCAAGAAAACACAGTACTTCAACAATAATCAAGATAACCCTAACCCTAATTCTAACCTCCTACATAAAGCGCACAAACATAACTCCCAAAAAGACTAAACAGTCCTCTTAATTCAAATTTTCCCTCCTAATCCCTCATTCTCTCTCTCTAGTTAAGTTGTGGGCTCCACAGGAGAGGCGGAACACACTAGGGGAGGAAAAATAGTAGGCTTATGCCTGCTCTAAATAAGGGGCCAGCCTAAGTGTTGGGCTGCTTAGGCAAACTAGATCGGTCTCTCCTAGCCATTCTATCAGAAATTAGTTCTATTATCTATGACACCAGGCACGTAATGGCTACACACTTATTTTTTAGGGCAGTCGCATGTATTATATGGCATGGGAACGTACGAAGCTTAATTACATACTATTTCTATTGGCTTGTAATGCCACATCTCTTCCGAGACCTAGATCCTCAAAGTTGTTGCTTGTTGCACACACTGATTGAGTAATGTACGAATAGCATGAAATGACGTGGCTTGAGCGGCACTTTCATTCAACTCACAATCACAATCAAAATAGAAAATGACTAATATGAGAATCCATCTAATTGCAATGAGCTAGGAAAAAAAAAAAGAGTTAGGGGTGATTACTATTTCACTAATAAATAACATATTATGATGGGGACATCAATGCATGAAAAGTTTATCATAGAAGGGATCGAAGATCGACGGCCACGATTGAATCGTTATATTATTAGTTGTTATGCTTGTTGTATGTGATTTAATTTAGTTTGTGAACTTTTCCTTAATGTTATGTTGTAAGATCAAGGGCATTTGTGTCTTTTTTCTTGTCATGTGGTGCAGCCTATATATATGGCTCTCTCCCCTCTTGTAAGATGATAATGATTATTTTTGAATAAATTCTGATTTTAGCTCTCTTCTCTTGTGTGAGAGTGTGGTGGAGTGGTGAAGCCTTAGGAGAACGTGAATGAAGTACCCAATAGGCCAGTAAGGTGAGCTCTTGGTTTTTCCCTTGTATCTCTTCCCCTTTCTCTCCTTCTTCTTCCTCCCTAACTGCCAGTTAACCCCCTTCCCCTTCCACCGCCCATGGCAAGCCCACCACCACTACCTCCCCATCCAAGTTCCCAATCCAAAATTTCCCAAATATGAAATTTTGACTTTGGGATTCCAATTTGAACCCACTTGTCCCTTGGAACTCTTCATGTTAATTAATGAGAAGTTGACCCATTAATTGTCTCTCGTTATTTTCATTCTCAAAACTAGTTGGAAATTGAAAAAGCCACAACCCCTTCCCTTTCCCCATGGTTGGCCCACTCTTGGAACTCTTCAAGTTAATTAATGGGAAGTTGACCCATTAATTGCAAAGTTAACTTTATATTTTCCCTTTCCCAAAAATTTTTTTTCATTTTCCAATCTCACTCTCTCCCATCACCCTTAAGCCCCACCACTCTAATTAACCTCATACCATTCCTAATCTCCCATAAATAACAAAAACCGTGGCTTCCCTCCTTCCAAATTTTGGACATCATCTTTTCTTCTCCACTGTGAAGCAAGACACAAGGAAGGCACTACGGAGCAACCATTTGAAGATCAACCGATCGAAGGAAGCTTCCCAGCGATGCAAATACCTAAGTCATTTAAGTAGATAGCTTTGAAGTCCAATTCTCTATGGCATCACCACTTTCATGTTAATTTAAATCCGCTAGCTTCTTAAATCATTGATTGCATGGTTCTCGTAGTAACTGATCTATGTTAAATGTTGGATCTTTTTGCCAACCCATGTTAGCTAAGTTGTTGATTTGATGTATCCTTCTTTAATTCCAAAATTTTGGTTGTGGTTAATTGCTATTTTTGGATTGCCTTTATTACTTGTTTGAAGCTTGTTTTAAGCATCCCCATGATTAATTGCTTGTTGATTTTAAATTTAACTTATATTTAATTTCATAATGTAAGTCTTCACATGCTAATCCTACATCATATTCTTTTCTTCTATCGTAGCATAAATACCTGCACTTTTTATTCTATGAAATCAATTGGCATAGATTCATAAACAAGCCTAACTATAGGGATTTCTTTTCTTTTCTTTTACTTTAATTCGATCCCAAAAAAAATCTTAGAAGTTATGTCCTTATCTAAAGCCTTATTCTTTACACTCAAGTTACTTACACCTTTCACACCTAAGCATCAATTAATCTTGTAGCAATGATGATTGATAGTTATTAATTATACATGTATGAAAATTGTGCATATATATATATTTTTATTTTTATTCCACTAGACGTCTTCTTTTCTTTGAAATTTTCTCAAATGTTCTTTTTTCCCAGCAAAACTCACTTGTCATGTAAATAATATATTATAAAACATGTGATTTAGAATTGTTTTGTTTGCTCATAAATGCTTGTAATAATATTGAATACTTTTATCATTCACTTTTGTAAACCAATAAATATTTGGATTTTTTTTTTTTTTAACATACCCCATGTTATCTTTTATGGTACTCTATGATATAACTTCTTAACATCAATAAAATTTATATGAATATCATTTTTTTACTTTATACTTCTCTATTAGTTTTTCACAAAATTGTTTCCATGGTAGACCTTTTTTTTTTAATAACCAAATTAATTCTCCTATGCCAATTTAGTTTTCTAAGCCTATATTTTTTTACCTCTCCCATGCTATGTTCAATGACTCATAAGTTTGAATTACTATTATTACAAAGATCTTATACATCTTTTTATTAATTGTAATTGTAGTGTTATTTTTTCAACTTTTTGTTAATTGTAATTGTAGAATGTTATTTTCTCAGTTATTTCTCATAATCTTAGCAATTAAAATTTCATCAAAAAATTTGTTAATCAAATTATCTCAAGATATCCAATCATTTGGTTGGTAGTCGCTTCTTGTAAATGGTAGATATGCATTAATATTTGAAACAAATCAACTTTGATTCAGGGATCAAATTAAACTGCTTATTAATGGCGGAAATCCTCTTTCCATTTTTGCTCGTGTTACTTGGTGAATATTTAAAAGATGTTGATGATAGTACAAATCATGTTAGAAGTTTACGCCTTTTCCCATTCCTTTAACGCGTGCTTCCTACTTTCCCTATTGTCAAATTCGTTGTTATGGTATTTGACTCGATTCTATCACTGTTTTTTAATGTTGATTAATCGTTCATATTCAACCTTTTTCTTAAATTTTGCAGATCTTGGGATACTCTGATACGGATGTTGCTGAGTATGTATTTAGTTCCAAGCCTTCTCTTGATTCACTGGTCAATTTTCTTTGCAATGATCTTTCCAAAGCATGTGTTGTTAAGGCACCCCCTGTTCCAAAGGTATTAGCATGCGGCATTCTTTATAGGCATTTTTTTGTCTTGTGGACTATGATTTTTAAGTAGCAACTAGTAAGCTTTGCAGTTTATAATTTTGTTATAATTCCAAATATGACTTGTTGAAATATATCTGTGAATTAAAATATACATATAAGCATGGGAAAAGCTGAATAAATATGTGATTAAGATTTTGTTTGGGACGACTTTCTTATTGCTTCTTAAAGCAGTTTTTTAGTAAAAAAAAAATTTTTGTACTAAAAAGCCGTCCCAAACAAAGCATAGAAAGCCGTCCCAAACAAAACCTAAATGGATGGATGGATGGATAAATGACAAAAGAATGATGGCTGGATTTAATATATTCTTATAGATTCTTGTTGATAGATGGCCTTTTTATTGGTAATCTTCTCTCTCCTACTGTGTACAGGCTAGAGTGCCAGGAGAACCATTTGTTGCGAAGCCCACTAAAGATGCTGAAATGGAAAAGATTTTAAGATCTATGGAGGTACGTTTACATAATTTGTTCAAAACCCAACATTCAGCCAATTTTATGCATCTACAGCTCCGCAACTCTTAAGCTGATTTCATGACAGGGCATGCCAGGAGCACCTGGCATGAAGATGTATTCTAGAGATGATCTAATGAACAACAAATTTGGTGACGAAGATAATGATGATGATGATGATAGTGAAGACGACTTTGGCAAAAATTTGGTATGAACTTTATCCTGCCAAGTTGTTTTGTTTGTTGGATTTGGCATCTAAGAACATTTTTCTGCTGCTATTTAGTGATATTAACGTTGTTTTGTCTCTGTTCTCCAGAAAAAGGCTCTCAGTCAGAAAACTACTCCAAAGTATGATATCAAGGAGAAGATACTGCGAGGAATTAAAGTAACTAGAAACACGATAAAGGGACATGTAAACAAGGCCTTGAAGAAAATTAGAAACTGGTGGAAGAGAAGGAAAGCAGCTTCCAAATCCTCAAAGTCTAGCAAAAAGGAGCTCTGAGTTCAAATAAACAGGTTATCGTGATCAATATGTTATCCCCTTCATGATGAGATTTCTTAGTTCTCCTTTTTTTTCAACCTTTAACTAACCTAAACATACGAAGTCGTCGCGGTAAATTTTTGTTTTTACATTATTGTGAAAGATGGGCAGTACTCTATAATTCTGAGCTTTTCCTATACTTTCCATTTCTCCTAGATATTGCAAGCTATCTAGTTTGAAGCATTTGTAGTAGTTAGATAAAAAGAGTAGGAGCATTGAGACATTTCTTACAATAAATTCCATCAGTTAGCCTATATGAGACTAGTCTGAAGGTGACTTGATAGCTGCGTACATTTTTTCTTAAAAGGGATTCTCCAACCACTTAATTCTGCACGTTGTTAGCATATCTTAAACTATTTGTCGTATAAAGTAACTCTTCTCCTTTTAAATCTAACATGTCAAATGACAAATGTATTTAAATAGGTTGGTTTTATGGATGCTGGTCTTAATTCTATTGTTTTATCAGTTGTTTTAAGCCCTTCTCATGTTCCTCTGTTTCTAAGTATTTTGTTGGAAAAATTGTACCCTTTTAAGTTTAACTTTTATTGCAGTATAATGTTGTTGTTATATAATATTTATGTGTTTGGCTGATTGGCAATAGTAGCTGTTGCATGTTAGTAAATTCATGGCAATGGAGATAATTTTATTTCTTAGGGTAGGATGAAGATCTCTCGTATGCACAAGTTAAAAAGTAACACACATGAGCTATAAGATTTTTATATGAAAAGCTTGAGAAGGGAAAAATTATGGGGTTTTATCTAGTTGTAATGATTCCCTTAATGTAAGTGAAGGACTAAATGATGCCCTTCCTAAGTGTCAATGATGCCCTTTTCTATAATTAGAGCGAGTGTAAATACAATGTTTTCGAGTAAAGTCGTCGGAGATGTCTCCTATTGTGTTAGTGGTAGAAGTTTTGAGATGTTAGAGTTTTCTGGCAATGAGTATTGGGTGACGATTGATGGTGGTCCTTAGAAACTGGGCAATGAAGACCATGCTATAAGAAAGACGAACATCATATGTTGGTGGCTAATGAATATGAAATGTTTTCCTAATTGAAGCGACCAAGAGATTAGGAAAACAAACATTGATTGTTGGTGGATACTAGATGTTAAACATCACTCTTTGGAAAGCATCAGGCAATGAGCGATAAAAAATGTTAGAGGTTGGTCTAATTTTCTTTTGATAGAAGGGAAGACCAGACGATTGAGAAGATAGGCGTAAGATGTCGATTGTTGGCAGCTGTTTGATAATGATATACAAGGATTATCAAAAGTTTGAGCGACGAGAGGTGTCAGTGTCATTTGACGGTTGACATTGAGTTGAAGAAGATGATGTCATTTGTGTCGATCGTGACTAGCAATGGGCTGCAATGAGTCGTAGGTTGACTATTGGAAATGCATAATGATGGGAGAAAATGCTATTGCTCTTTATAAATTGTTATACAAGTGTACGTGTCGATCAAGTAATAAAGTGAAAAGTAGAGTATCGATCCTACGAGAAAAATTATATCCTACAAATGCCCCTATTACTATCTACTACAAGTGTCAAAGTTTATCCTACTGAATCGTGATGAAATTAGTTATCTAGCAACTAATGCGATTGCTAAAAAGATAATTTAATCAAAGTAAAATATGTTCTGAACTTATGATGGTGAATGTTACAATGTTTTCCTAAGTAGACTCTTCTTAGGTATGTTGTGAATCAAAACATATACACCCTTAGATTTTTGTTGAGCTTATAAGAGTGTAAAGTAACGCTCTCACCTTATTACAATGATTATATCTCCATAGATTCCAAAAACCTATTCATCCTATGTCTAGATATGAATTCATTTCAACTCTCCTATTTTTTTTCATCATTCCTCCGTCAAAGTAATGAATCATACTAAGTTTTAAATTCAAATATGGTTAGTGCATGAACTAAATTAAGATTGGGAGTGATTGAAAACAACATTAAAGCATTTTATTTACTAGAGTCTACATATAAAAAATAATAATAATAGCATACTTCATTCACATCATAATAGCCCAAAACTAAAGAAATAGCTAGTCATAGACATGAGTTCAAGCAAAACAGACTTCATTATATCTACTACAACAAGATACAAGAATTTAAGTGGAGAAAATATTACCTGAAATGATGTTTACAATCAATTACAAACAATAGATGCTTCTTGAATTTATTTCCCTTCTCTCTCTCTCTCTCGTAGTTGCTTATGCAAACCATATTAAAAATTTATTTTGTTCTCTCTAACTCTTTCGGGTATGTGCAAAAGGCCATCTCGCTCTAGCATCTGTCTACCTGCTATGTTGTGAAAATGCCAAAAAGAATGTTAAAAAATAATTTTTGCTCTCTCTCTACTATTTGTATTTTTATATCATTTTCTTTTCAAAAAATTGATTAGTTCTATTTTTTAAAAAAAATTGTTAAATTAAATTAATTTTTTTTAAACTAAGTGGTATAATTTTGTTTGTTTTTAAATAGTTTTGATATTTTAAATAAAAATTTTTCATATAGTTTGTATTTATTTTTATTCACCAAGTAAATTTTAATTTTATATGAATTAATTTTTTAATTTGTTTGATCATTCTCCGGTGAGTGTATTATATTTATGTATTCTCTATTCTCTTTGACATAAATTTTAGAGAAGAGGGTTTAATAAATTAAAATTTTGTTTGCCGAGAGGTTGATCACAATTTTGTATTCAAAGAAGATGCAACTTATTGCTTATAGTCTCAAGTAAGTGGTGATAGCTTTGACATAAAGGGATTTCAAAATAAAAAAAAAGGATAGATTTCGTAAACGTGGGATGAAAAAGGTTGAGGATTCTTTTTAATATTGATAATTTGTGCCCCCACATAAAAAAAATTTTGCTCCGCCACTGAACGATAATAGTTGGTTGACGGTCGGTGTCACTAAACAACTAAGTATGGCCCATGTCTAAGGGTTGGTTGACTTTCGAATTCTCCAAATGGGTAGATATATGATTTATTTCAGATTCCACTCTGCTCAGAATCCTCATTTAAATTTATAGAAATATAGTTTATTTACATATTTTAGAAATGCGCATTAGAAGAATTAGGAAAATAATTGGGAAAATCCATTCGAAAACATGAATAAATTCTCATATTTTTAAAAAATTTCTAAATATTTAAGTTTATTAATAAACTAGAAATTGTGCACTTGGATTCATCAGATTTGTCTCTTCTGGATACTTTTTTTTTTTTTAAATATAAGGGTGTAACACGAGAACTTCCCAGGATGTAATTTCTTATAAATTTTTTTAAAATAATTCAGAAGTTGTTATATTTTCATATTTAAAGTGAAATATTAATGATCAAAATAACTATATTTGATCATAAATACAATATCCTTATTTACAATTGTAAGAAATGATTATTTTGTTGCATAAAATTACACTCAAAACTCTTTTATGATTCAGGATAAGCTATATAATTCTCATTTCCAAGTCTGTATTGGCATAACCGGTGACACTAAAAAGAGAAATTATTATGTGCAAATTCTAGACTATTCGAAGACAAATCACAGCACGCCACATCATCTAATACATAATAGTACCGAGAAGACGCAATATACAAGAAGGGTGAAGGACTACATTAGCACAAGATGCAATGTGGCTCTTAAAAAGAGATATATATATATATATTACCATTTTACAAAATAACTCTTAATATTTTATTGAATTACAAGATAACTCTTAATATTTTACAAAATAATAAATATTTTGCAAACAATCATTGTATATAACACTGCTAAATTCTTTACCATATCAGTTATCCTTTACTCGTTAAGGAACGGCAAATTATTGCGTCTGGTGTCCGGATTCGTCCGGACATCAATCCGGTGTCGCCACGTCACCAAAATGCACCGGGACATAATGTATTTGGGTGACGTGGCGTCACCTAATTAGATGTCCGGACATCCGGTGACTGGACGCAATAATTCGCCTTCCTTAACACAAGCTAAGAAATCTGACTTCTATTTTTAAGCTGGAACCATCAGGTAACCTATTTTAAGAGTGAGCTAAAGCAGATAGAACTGAATAGATGATAAAAAAGAATACAGATGTCTTATAATTAGCAATTTAATTCAAAATTATTCAAGAAGAAGAAAGATGCACTGAAGTTTTGATTAAAGAGTTATAAAACTGAAGGTATGAATTATAATAATGATAGCCAAATTCAGAAATTTCAGAAGGTAAAATACAGCACAACCTCTTCGGGGAGGGCATCAGAGTCAGGTGAGCTTCCTGAGCAGAGCATTTGAAGAGCTAAAATCACATCTTGGGACCTAAAGGAAGAAACACAATGAAGATTTTGGTTCTTTTTTTCAATCTCTCTCACCTTGGTAAATGGAAAATGGAAAACGAATAATTAGAATGAAGCCGCCGCCGTCCAGGGAACAAGAGGCGGTTAAACTTCCGCTTGGATTCCGGCAGTCTCGTCCGGCCCCGCCGCATTATGAAACAAGTGTCAACATCTAATGATGAAACAAACCCTCGTGCAGCTCCTTGCAGCTACATGAAGAAGCAAATGACTTTGTTTCCCAACAAAAAAATTCTGACCGAATGTAATATATTGTTGTTGATCCAGATCCATCATCGCTATGCATAATACATGTACAGGCTGTTTGCAGCAGCACAGGCAATTGAATTTTCAGATGGATGCCAAGCTAGATGGAGTAGCTTTGTAGTGAAATCGTAGGAGTTTCCGTTGGCATCAACACTGGGGCTTTCGGCTCCTATCGGCACAGAAAAACTGATGTAGTGAGAGAAAATATAGCAGGGTATCCTGACAACTTTTTTAAAAAAATAAGTGTTTGGATGCCAAGAAATTCAGTGAAAGAAAATAATTAAAAAAAATAGTGAAAAGCTTAAATCAATGATTGTAAATGATTGCAAATCCATAATGAGATTTCGGTTTCGTTTGAAAAAGCTTTTTTATTGATTCTTAAAACAGCTTTTTAGTACAAAATTTTTAATTTTTATACTAAAAAATTATTTTGAGAAGCAGTAAAAAAGCCGTCCCAAACGATGCCTTCATTTGATTTCCTACGGTTTCCTTTGATGCAAACAGTGAGTGAATAGATTTACCTCTTCTAACAACGCGAGTTAGACTGCTAAGAGATCTTGCAGGCCTTGCAGGTGTTTGTACTTGCCTCCTGCATGATATTATTAAATTAGGTTAAATAAACTAACACTAAACTCTGACTGCAAAACTAACCTTTCAAAAAAAATTTCAGTATATAATCAAAATCTTCATAGTGGAGAAGAACACTCTTCTGTAATATGTCCCAAGTACCTTATTAATTCAAAAATAAAATAAAATGCTTTAAGCCTAGATGAGATACCTCCCGAGTTTCGAGAATTTGGGGAGATATTGGAGTAATATTGTTAAAAATTATTTTCAAGAAAATATGTGAAATAGTTGGACAAATTTCAGGGTAAGTAATTAAGAACAAAGAAGAGATGATAATGATTTTAGGGGAATAAATTTGAGCGTTACCACAATATTATGAAGAGGGTAATGAGAGAGATGCTAAAACAAAAAAAACTATGCCAGTATCAAATAAGCAATTCGATATTTTATGGAAGAAAAATTACTATGAAGATGATTTTTGGGCATGAACAATATTGAAAAGGCACAATTGGATACCACAAGAATTAATTTGTTGTCATTACGAAAGAAATGTGTCTCAATGACATATTGAAGTTACTAAATATTATTTTACATAACATAGTGAGTAGAGAACTAGCATTAGATGTTGGTTGTGGAAAGACCAAAGAGGCCCCGGTCACCCTATGATTACATCGAAGTCAATAAGTTCATGGATTTGGTAACTTTTGATAGCTAAGAGCAGTTGTAAATTGAAACTTAAGAAAAATAAGCAAATTTTAAAAAAGATGAGGCCTTTAGGATTAAGGGAACATACAATGAATATAGAATATGAAATTTTAGTGAATGTAAAATTGAAAGTCATAAATCAATATTGAAAGGCCAAGTGATAAGTAGATAGGTTTGTGTATTTTGGGTGTATTAATATTAAAAAAGAAAGAAATCAATAAATGCAAGTTCAGTTATAGAGTTGAAGATTTTAAGTTTAAATGGAGTGTTGTGTTAGAAATGCAAATACAACAACAACAAGCCTTTATCCCACAATGTGGGGTCGGTTACATGTATCATTTTTCTTCATTGTGTCTATTAAGAGTCAAATTCTCATCTAAATCTACTAAAGAAAGGTTATTTCTAATATTTTCTAACCAAGTCTTTTTAGGTCTAACTCTACCTTTACTAACATAAGTCAAATCTAATACATCTACTTACCTAACCGGGTCATTAGAAGGTCGTCGTGTTATGTGACCAAATCATCTAAGGCGGCTCTCTCTAATCTTATCTTCCATAGGAGTTACTCCAACCTTTCCACGTATATGCTTATTTCATATCCTGTCACTAAGCATAAAGCCACTCATCCACCTGAGCATCCTCATCTCTGCAACACTTAACTTAATATTATACTTCTCTTTTAATGACCAACATTCTGCACCTTAAAGCATCGTAGGTTTCACTACCATTTATAGAATTTCCCCTTAAGTTTGAGAGGTACTTTTCTACACAACAAGCCCGATGCATTCCTCGACTTTAACCATCCAACTTGAATTCAACTAATAATATCCCCATCTATTTCACCATCACTCTGAACAATAGATCCAAGATATTTAAAACGTGTACTCTTATTAATGACTTGATCGCCCGAAGTCACAATCCCCTCACGATATCTATTATTACTAAAATTATACTCCATATATTTAGTTTTAGATATGCTCAAACGAAAGACTTTAGACTCTAAGGTTGACCTCCATAATTCAAGTTTACCTTCAACTCATTCTCTAGTATTATCAACAAGAAGAATATCATCAGCAAAAAGCATACACCATGGTACAACCTCTTGCAAATGTCTAGTTAGAACATCCATGACTAAAGCTTAAAAGATATGGGCTTAAGGCTGATCCTTGATGTAATCCAACTGAAGTAGGAAAATACTTGGCCAAACCACCTTGTGTTTGGACACAAGTAACAACTCCTGCATACATATACTTAATATCTTGAATATAAGCATTATTAATCCCTTTCTTATGAAGAGCTCTCCATAGCACTTCTCTTGGAACTTTATCATATGATTTCTCTAAATCAATAAAAAATCATATGTAGATCCTCCTTATTCTCTCTATACTTCTCCGTTAAACCTCTCAATAAATGTATAGTTTCCATAGTAGACCTACCTGATATGAATCCAAATTGATTTTGACAAATATTAGTGTCCCACTGCAAGCTTTGCTCCAAAAATCTCTCCCATAGTTTTAAAGTATGACACATTAATTTAATTCCTCTATAAGTCACACAATCTTGTGCGTCACCTTTATTCTTAAAAATAAGAATCAACACACTCATTCTTCACTCATCTGGCATCTTTTTAATCTTCAAAATAATATCAAAAAATTTCGTACTAACTAAATAAAATGAGGCCATAGGACCCACAAGATTATTGCAGTATTTTGCTCCATAGGAGTTCAAATCCTATGGCCAAGATGTCAGCATTAACACATGCTATCAAATTTGGCAAAACAAAAATCAAAAAATGATAACGTAGATCTTTCTCTTGCCTTTTAGGTTTGTTTTTAACAGTTGAATCTAGCGCAACTAAAGAACTTTAAATAAAAAGCATAATAATTCTGGAGTGAGCAAATAACATTTGAACAAAAGCATAGTTGACACTGATGGCCAGTCATTACATCCCTCCTTCCTCCCTTCTGTTGCATTGCAGAGAACCTCATGAAGTTAATGGCATCCCTAACCAATTAATAGGAGCTGAGAAGTGCCATCAAAGATGCAGAGCGATGATCCAGATTACCTAACTACAAATGAATTATCAAGAATCCAACCTCACCCCATGGTATTAGAATATCTTCAATAGTTCCACAATCTCCTCAAGTTGCTCATTCATTTGCCTTAGAAATTCAATCCCAATCCCCTAAAGGTCGAAGAGCTTCTTTATGGCATTCCTTCCAAGAAATTGGTCTTGGAAAGCATGTCAAAATTGAGAATTTTAGCACTCTAAGCCCAAAATCTTCACCAACATAGAAAATTACTGATGTTTGAGAAAGAAGAGATAAGAGGAAAGAGCTTCAAACGAACCATCTTTTGCCAACTTGCCAAGGGATCTCTAAAAAGTTCAAGTAGAAGAGAAAAGATGGTACTTCTTAAAGGAACAATACTATGAACCTTGGGAGAGATGGCTTCTTCTTTTTTTAACAATTCTAATGCAGCTATTATCACTAACACTTAGAACAAGTTAACTAGTGAAAAAAAAAAAACAAGTTAACTAGTGATGAGTGTGTTGCAGAGTGCGTATGAGCTTTTATGCAGACAAACATATTCCCATAAAATATGAAATAGCATGTCCATACAACTAAGAAATTATACATTGATTCCCACCTAAATAGACATACCTCATAGGATTCTTGCAAGCTTCTAAAGTTGTTGCCTCAGTGCTTCCGGAAGCACAACCAAAAACACGGAAAAGATTGCTGGTTTAACACAATTAATATAAATAATCATCAAAGTGAAAACTAATAATAGTCAATAAAGTCATTATCAGAAAAATGTAAAAAAGAATACCTATATGAACCAGTAGCTAACCGAAGCCCATCTCCACTCAGGCAGCACTCAAATTTATCAAAGATCGAATCATTTTCATATAAATCACAAAGCTGCACAATATATTGAGCTAATATAAGGAACAAAAAATTTAAAAAAAAATGATTCACTATTGTGAAAACTACTGATCAGATAGCATATAATGCTAATCAAATTACCTTAGGCCTCAAATACTCGTGGACCTGGAAAGTTGCGACTGGACCGGAATCCATGTTTATGTCCCACAGCTAAAAATGTAGACAAATAAGAAAACGGCCAGAAGAAGGAAACAAAACGCGGGCAGAAAAAAATCAAGGAGACCTAAACAGCAGATAATACTTTTACTTGTGGTGACATTCCAAATGACAGCAAAATCAGCAGGCCAATGAATGAGTTCAAAATAACGCTATATGATAAGATACTTGATTAGTGATCATACAACTAGGCTAAAGTTTAACTTAAAGGACACCAAAACAATATCAATGCATATATTATGGGTAAATGCAGGACCAGGATTACCTGAAAAATAAGATATCAGGGGAAGTAAATAATAATGAGAAACTTTAATGACCTAAAAAAAAGAGGAATACATGAACAATTCGGAAGTACATCTAGCCTGCAGCATTCATCAAATTAAATACATGACCAAGTTGAGAAATGTATATCCTCTATGTGATAAACATTATAGGAAGATACGTCTTCGAAGTATAAACAGCAAAACAGATAAAGAAAAATACAGTAATACAAATATGGGGGCTGATTTTTTTATTACTTCTTCAACAATAACAAAAGATACAATTGATCTACTATTTCGAGAGGTGGATCGACTCTCCCACAAACCTAAGCTGTCGCTAGAAAACTCACACCAAACTCTAGAAAATAAACTCAACACATATACCTCTCCCAACCCTAGACAAAACTCCACCTTAAATAGCCCTCACACATACTAAACATAATTGGAAAATTCCTAAACAGTATAAACAAATTAAGAAACCTTCCTAAACAGCATAAACACAAATAGGAAATCTTCATAAACAATCAAAACCTTCATAAATAGCATAAACACAATTAGGAAACAATCATAAATAACTCCCTAAATTCCTCCTTACATAATGAATAATAGCTCCCCTAGGCTCCACAAGGGGGGCCAAAATCTCCCCCTCTGTTAACCTTGGCTTTGCCGAACCAAAGGGCTGGTTTGGCCGGGGCTAAGCTAGTCTAACAAGGATAGTCTGGGCCGGCCAAGTGGGCCCCCTTGGCATATCAGACTGTGTTTTAGGTAAAGTCTATCAAAAGATATTAGAGTTCAATTCTAACGAAAAAATCAAAATAAAATATAATGAATGGGCAAGTCAAGAAAATTACAACTTACATTCCCCGGTGAACTTAATGACCACAAAAACCAAACACAAAACTAATAACTGCATTATAAATATATAGTTTATACTCAATTCTTTAGAAGACGGCTTTCAAACAAATTGTCATTGGGTTTAATTTGCTTCCATTAAAAGAAAAACGGGGAACCAAAAAATGAATGATGGAGATAGGGTAGTTGCAACATTCCTTATTATTTTGAATTAATGAAACTCTCTAGTATTAATGCATAGTATTTTTGAGAATAAGATCATGTATGAAAACTAAAAATACTTACCACCATTGCCTGTGGCAAGCTGTGATATTTGAGAGCAGTCAGAGGGCGCGAGGAACAAATTTGACTTCAGTGGTTTGCCATGATAATTAAAGAGAGTTTAATTATAACAGAGAAATCAATAATGGAAGTTGAGGCAAGAAAGAGAAAGGATTCAATGTACTTTAAGAGATTTTCTAAGAGGGTTGTTTTAAGAATGAGATTACAAAGAAGAAATAATAAGAGTCATTAGAAATGCAGGTTAGGAACGAATATAAGAACCAAAGGGGAGCATGATTACTGATGAAGCTAGAGGTGAAGTGGCAACTAAAGGGGAGCAAGGTTACCAACATGGGTTGAAAATGGGGTTAATAATCATAATTAATAGGTTATTTTTATGACATGTAATTTACAATTTAAATAACTAGATTTCAAGTGCGCATTTTACACCCTTTTAACAAACTTGGATCCGCACGTGTGAAGCAACTTGTTAGGAGTAGTTAAATGTAACCTTACCCCATATACTATAAATGCAATATGGCAGCCGCAGGCTTTAGGCTGCCCACTCAAACTTATAAGTATAGTAAGGATACCTTTGCATCAATCTCACCAATCTAACACAAATTAAATTATTACCAAATTAACAAAACTCACTCATAACAGCATTAGTTTATCATTGCAAGAAAAAAAAATATTGACAATTAAAAGCTTGATATATCCCTATTATAACATTAAAACCATCTCAAAACAATTCCGGTAATCAGTTTCATTTGTCAACCTGCTTTTCCACACCAAAAAAAAAAACAATTCGGAAAACTTGACAGAAAAGACTCATATATCACTGACAGATCATTGAATAGGTGGAACCTCCAAGGGCTACATAGAATAAAGAAGTATTCTTACACTACTTTAATAAACAAAACAGAAAATATCGATTTAAATTGGATGGATAGAAAATAACCTTAAGGGTCATGTAATCACGGCTCAGAATATGTCGTCCATATTTTGAAAATTTAATATCAGAAATTGAAGCAATGATCTCGGTGAAAAAGGACCTTGACCCAGGTGTCTCACGCTCCTCAAACCTGTTATTGCATCATTACACCGGAAACAAATAAACAATATGGCATTGTATAAGAGGGCATGTATCAGTTGGAACTTTCATTTCCCAACCAGTGCACACGGAACCAAAAAACATATAACAGTAAAAATACATATAAAATATGGCCACTTACAACTTGGAGTGATTATCACATAAAGCTGATTGCCTCAAATCAATAAGCCTTATCGAGCCCTTAGAGCTACTATATGCTAGCGTGTTACATTGCATAGGATGAAACTCAGCTGATGTTATAACCTCTGCGAAGCATAAAATAATGAATCAAATCAAAATAGAACTTATGGGCCATACCATAACTCAGGCTTGAAAAAAAAAAAAGATAAAAAATATATCAAGTTCCATCAAAATTAAAAAATTAAAAAAATAAAAAACAATTGAAGAGATTGAGTGCATTGATTGAAATTTATCTCGTGCAAAGGGTTGCCAACTTAACATTAAAGTGGAGTATGTATCAAAATAGAGAACAATCAATGAAGATTGTGAGGTCAACGTAGACTCAAAACATGGAGTGCAAGGTCGCAAGGTTGTGGGGATGGCTTAGCGATGATATGATCGTGAGCGAGGATGAATTAGGAGTTTGCCCAATTTGGACGGATTCCAAATTCATGGACGGATTCCAAATTCATCAAAAATAAGCCTTTGTTGAGGCATTTTAAATTTCCTAGATAATACTTCAAATTTTTTTACTTCATACCAAACACCTGAAAATTCAAAACCTATCTACTCCAAATGCAGTACACACATATTACTTCAAAACTAACAAGTTCTTAATGTATTTGAAATCCATCTCAACAATAAATAAAAAAATCAATACATTTGATTTGAATCCAAAGGAACAATTATTATGTTTCTAGGAAGCATTCTAATTGCTCTGTAGTTTTAAGATAAATGTATTTTAAAAACATCAAATCCTAATAAAGTTTATTTCTCCATTGCCAATATGTAGAAGACCTGAAATGCCCCCATTTGATTTGTTTCTCCTTGCCCCTCAAGAAATTTTCTTACATTGCTTTATTATCTTCTCTTCCTTGACTCACTGCAACCTCCTCCCATAATATAATCTCCCAAACCCCATCAACAATAGAGGCTTGCTGAATAGAAGAACCCTCTTCAATCATAAAGTTATTGGGTTTAGCTAACCCCAAAAAAGGTTTTCAATCATTTCCACCATATTTGAGTAGTAGAGAGTTTTTTTTTTCCACTTAGGATGGGTATTGTCAAGGTGTAGACAAGTATCAAACTCAAAACCTTAGCAATAACTTCCAAAACTCTTACCAATTGGATTAACCAGCGCACACTAAGTCTTGAGTGAGGTGAAACAACCTAATTTATAGTAGATTGCTTTGACTTTGTAAATTGTTTACCTGCCAATAGCAAATAGGGCATGTGGATAGGCATATAAATGAGAGGAGAGTCACAATTGTCAAAGGATGGTCACCTCTTCCACAATCAATGCTTTCTCCACCTACCAAACCTCCATCATAGCATTGCGCCTATGGGAACAAAGAGCCAAAGTGGAGGTTGTTTCTGGTAAGAGTGTTGTATAAAATATTTGTGGGCTCTAAAAACTCGTGCCCCTGCTTTGTTAACAGACTTTTCCTATAGATCAAATTTTCATTTTTCAGAAGGTAGATTGGATTGCAAATAAAATATTATTTAGAGATTTCACTCATATTTTATGAAGACTTTACCCTCCCTACATCTCCCCCACATAAGAGGCATCAACAGGGGTTTGAGCCTACCCAACACATCAAAAAAGACGTGTATAATTGATGTTCTAAAATATCATAGTCGGGGAATCTTCAATCCAGAAATGCTAAAAAATGTGTATATTAGTCTTTGTGTACATATTTAAAAATTGAGATATTTCCCCGCCATATTTAAAATACTTATAAGCTTACCACACCTAGAAGAATGTTAAATCCAAAACTATTTATAAGAAAATAGGTAGAACTCTTACAAAGAACCCAACTAAGCCCTTCATAGAAAAGAATGGGTTGAACCTAGGGAGACCACAAACATAAAGAGTAGATAGCAAAAGGGGGGAGGTGATAAAGAGATAGACTAAGCGCCTAACATTACATTCATGCTTAAGCAAAACATTTGATTCAGTATTTGTAGGTCAGAGTCAAGGCAGTGCTACAAGATGAGCTGCAATGGACTCAGCTCACTACAAGAGCATACACATTTATAAGTTGTTGTTAGTTGTGTGAAGGTCCCGTAGTCATATCCCTATTATGCCTTCCTAAGACAAGTATTGCTTGGAGAAAGAGAATGACAAGTTCATTGGGTGAGTGCCTCATGCGAGTATTGCTAGTTGATTGTATGGTGAATGAGAAAAAATTTTGAATGTCAATTGGCCAAGTTCGGCAACTAAAAACCTTGGATTGATTCATGCATGAAAAAGTTTTTCTAAGTTGACTTGCCACTTAGTGGCTATGGACAACTCTTAATAGGAAACTTGCAAATCTAGCTTGGTTTAAGCCAGTTCAACATTCTGAGCTCCCCAGATTCGGCTCAAGTTTATTTTCTAACTTGGTGCAGCTTACCAAGAGAATATCAGAGTATAATGGAAATAATATTTAGAATGAAAACTTTATAACGAGGGATTAACAAAATTTGTTGGGTTGGTAATGATTTTCCTATTAATTCAAGGTTACCATGAGAGATTGACACATTATGACATTGCTAGTTGATGTACACTCCTTATGGCTCCCTTCGATGCAATGGCAAAGTTATAGTAAATACACTAGGGGCTCTTGCTTCCACTAGACCGGCCAATAATATATTAAATTTTAGTTTTTATAATTAATTTCACAGCCTAAAAGAGCTATTTATAGGGTCAATATCATCAACTCACAGCTAATCCTCAATTCACGAATAGGGCTTCCAGCATTTACCATGGTGCACGAGCTATGAGTCCAATGATGGCAGCTTAGTGATCTCCCTTGCTTTCTTTCTTCCAATAATATATTGAAAAGGTGAGTACCTCTCTCTAACCTGCCTTAAACTCTTTGCTACCAATGTTTGGGCCAACCCCACCTCTAAATCACATAGGTTAATCCGTGTTTTTGTTCTCTTCAATCTTCTTACCAATTATTTGGCTTTAAGAGCATTAAACTCATTAGATATTATAAGTACAACTTTAGATCATTTTAAAATTCAATTTATGATGAATTCAAAAATAAACTAGATATTTAGAAGTATTTTGTGTTACAGATTGGTAGACCAACAACTTGATTTAGATTGACTATAAAGATTAGTTTATCTTTTGACTCATTTTGACTTTATATAATATTTCACTCTAATATGCTATGCCCAATCTTAATATGTTACTCCAAATCACCTATGAAAATAAATTTAATCAATATATTTTAATTTTTCCCCTATTTTAAATTTCACTAATTACAAATATTTCAAAATAGCTATAAATAATGATTACTTTATACAATTATGAAGGCAACAATATCCCTTAATTTCTAAGGGGGTTAAACCTTTTAGAATTTATACAATCAACCATGTTTACACCCAATTTGAATTCCTAGTAACTCTAATTCAATGTAGACTTATAATTATCATAGTTAAAAGTAAGTTTCTTATAAATATTCTCATGCAAATCATACATATAATTAATGAATGAAGCAATATGATGTGATGGGCATAACGATAATGCAAAAAAAAAAACTACCATTCCATATGAATACTAAGAAAGATACTATAACAAATCCCTAAAAGGGAAAATGATGAAAAAACATTAAAATTGATATTATTAACTTACCTCAAGTTTTTTTCATAAGAATCAAATTACATGAATATGGCACATCTATCGTATGAAAGAGCAATATCCTCATAGAAAATTAGCTCAATTAGTTTAAAGACTAATCATGATAAATATGATACCTTTGGATTTGATCGAATTGATGGAACTTGAAATTTCAAGTTTTCTTAAAGAAAATCTTCACCATTGAAATGTTGATGTAATTTAACTTTCCCCAAAAAAAAAATTTATAAATATATAAATCATGAATTAGGGAATCAAAAATCAATATCAATTTGATTATCCATCATAATAGTACTTTTCATATATAATTCATCACGAGTAAAATTATTAAATTGCTCAATTAAGCATCAATCACAATAAACACGATTTGTTCAATTTCATATTTAGGAATAGCTTCAATTTCTATTAGAAGTTTCAAGCTCATGACCGCATTCTAATGTAAGTGCAAACTCAAATTCAATAAAATCATATTGTATTTATAAATCTTCTTTAGCAAATATTGCAGAAAAAAAAATTGATGAACTATAGTTTCATCAATAAGATTAAATTTTACCATACACAATTCTTGTGTTGTAACATGTTTAGCAAGCTTTTAGATGAGATGATAATAATTTAGTTTTAAAATAACAATCATGGTAGACTCCTAATATGTGTATTATTTATCAATATATAAAACTCAATATAAATTCTCGTGTAGTATTGTTTATGAATTTTAGCATATTTTATCCTAAAACATTTAATGAAATAAATAATGATAATTTAATAATCTAGACAAACAATATTTTGCTATAAAACCTTTAAATCCTGCATAAAGCTTCAAACATGCTATGGTCACCTTAATGAAATTTCTTAAATTGATTATGCACCAATATTCACTAAATGATAAATATTATTATTTAAGTTTATATTTTACATCAGCTCATATAGATTTTATTTTAATTGAAATACATCACAGAATTAATTAAATTAATTAAGCATGCCCAATTAATTTTGTTTAATAAAATTTTGCTCCTTGCAAATTAGACAATCTTTAAGGAAAAAACTTCCATGTTATATATCAATTTTGAAATTTTCCTAACATCATACCTCCCATCAAATATAAGAACCTCATAATAGTTAAACTTGAATTTGTAAAGAACAATGATACATAATGTATCATTGTGCTTTAGTCATGGATGGATGTTCTCACTAGACATTTGCAAGAGGATGTACCTTGGTGTATGCTTTTTACTGATGATATTCTTCTTGTTGATAAGACTAGAGAGGGAGTTGAAGGTAAACTTGAATTATGGAGGTCAAACTTAGAGTCTAAAGGTTTTCGCTTGAGTAGATCTAAAACGGAATATATGGAGTGTAATTTTAGTAGTAATAGACCTAGTGAGGTGATTGTGACTTTGGGCGATCAAGTCATTAATAAGAGTACACGTTTTAGATATCTTGGATCTATTGTTCAGAGTGATGATGAAATAGATGGGGATATTATCAACAGAATTCAAGTGGAGGAATGCATCGAGCTTGTTGTGTGATAAAAAAGTATCCCTCAAACTTAAGAGAAAATTCTATAAGATGGTGGTGAGGCCTGCAATGCTTTATGGTGCCGAATGTTGGCCATTAAAAGAGAAGCATAATACTAAGTTAAGTGTGGCAGAGATGAGGATGCTCAGGTGGGTGAGTGGCTTTACCCTTAGAGATAGGATATGAAATGATCATATACGTGAAATGGTTGGAGTAGCTCCAGTAGAAGATAAGATTAGAGAGAGTCGCCTTAGATGGTTTGGTCACATAAAACGGCGGCCTTCCGATGACCCGGTTAGGAGAGTAGATGTATTAGATTTGACTTATGTTAAGAAAGGTAGAGGCAGACCTAACAAGACTTGGTTAGAAAATATTAGGATTGACCTTTCTTTATTAGATTTAAACGAGAATTTGACTTTTAATAGGACACAATGGAGGAAAAGGATTCATGTAGCCGACCCCATGTAGTGGGATAAAGGCTTGATGTTGTTGTTGTAATGATACAGAATGTATTAGAGTCTACGGTTTACAATGCAATTTTACGATGAAATGTACACAAGATCAAAATCCTAGCAAATAATCAATCACGACAATAACAAAAAAAAAAGATTATACCAAATTTGTAAATAATCAATCAAATAAAAAATAATAAAATTAGATAATTAAAAATAAAGCAAAGGAAAAAAATCACCAAAACAACAAGGAGAAATTTCAAGCATAATCATAAATATTGATTATTTATAGAACTAACACACCCTTATCTCCATTCTTACACCAAATTCTCAATAATTAAATCGTCAAATGGACAAATTGGAGTTGCTAGATCCTGTTTTTTTTTAAGTGTACAAGATTTCTTAATAGTGTAGATTTCCATAGCACGCGCTAGATTATACTAGATTTGTAAATAATAATCAACCATGCATGAAACTAAAAGCAAAGAAAAAATCACCAAAATAACAAGACGCAATTTCATACGTACTCTAAAATCTTGACCATTTATAAAGTTAGCACCGTTGTATCTCCATTCTTCCGTCCAAGTCCCAATGATTTGATTACGACATGCACAAATTGATGGATTTGCTAGATCTTTTTTTTTTTGAAGTGTTAGATTTGTACATAGTGTAAATTTACATAGCACATGCATAAATCTCTTAAATAACAATTTAAACCTCCCGTCGTCGAAAGGAGATGGTTTTCCTCAAAATTTCAAAGAGCTATCAAGAAATGAATCATGCAACGAATTTGTTCCATCATAATAGAAAACAAATAGAATTATTTTTATGTGGCTAAAATATCTTATGTACAATAAAAAGGTTTCATTTAATTTACAACAGACATAGTCAATAGTCCCCTTACAAAAGGATGAGAACAACAGTCTTCCTGCAACAAAAAAATCCAAAAGTTGCAAATCTCATAAGACTTGTACAAGGAAACCACTCATTTTGTGAAAAACCCATAATTAGAAATCACATATAGGATTGCAGTCGCATTTAGTAGTATCTCACATGTAAAAGACCTACGATACTTATGTTACAAATGATTGAAGCAATGCAAAGACTCGGGTGAGGCATAGATAAGGTGTTGATGAAGCAAAAGTTTTGAAATGAATTAAGATTGCAATCAATCCACCAAACCATATTCACCTGAAATAAGGTAATAGAACCTAGTCAAGAAAAGGAATTGCTTGAGTACCACTGAAAACCATAGCGAAGGAGCTCTGCATCACATGGTTTAATTGATTTTATTTAAATTGCGTATTTTATTTCTTTATCATTGACCCAAAAATTATATCCTAGCCCTAGAAACCATAATACAGCATTAAACTCTGCTATCAAATCAAATTCAAAATATCTTAGGATCAAGGGTTTCCTAATACAATTTTATAAAAAGATACACCAAATCACGCGCACACATTCAAAATCAAGTTCACAAACCCTTAATTTAGATTACTACTCATTCCTCTACATGAAAATAGAAATATGAATAATCAAATGCATGAGTATATGCTATAAAGGAGAATCAATAATAATAGAGATCAAACCAAGGGAGATCAGAAGTTCGACGAGTGCGGCATCAATAAGGTGTTTAAAGAAGATCTGATGTAAACAAATTAAAGCAAAGTACAAAAGAGAATAACAAAGAGAATCAAATCTTACTTTTATAAATTTAAGACGTTACTTAGAGAACAAAATAGGTTAGAGAAAACAACTATCTTCAGAAAAGGAAAGAAGCAACTTCCAACGACCAAAACAAAAGAAAACAAATAAAGAAACAATATTTAAAAAAAAAAAAAAAAACTATCCTCAGAACATCCTACAAGAGGACTCCTCACATGCACCGATTGTAGGAATATATTTTAAAATAAGGTTTAGATATGCAAACCAAGGGTCCACCACAGCAAAAGGGATCCAAAGTCCTTTCAAACCTTTCCAGCAAATGCCACCAATTCAGCCCACGACTTCACCAAAACAGCCAACAACTTCACCAAAAACAGCCAACAAAAACAGCCAACAACTTATCCAAAAACAGCCAACAAAAACAGCCAACAACTTCACCAACGGAACTAGAAGAAAGATACAGGTGGAGTGGAACTTGCGTAGAGAAGAAAGGGGTTAGAAGCCGAGACGAAAAAGGAGAAGCTCGCAAGCTTTCCTAGGAGAGAAGGAGAATGGAAAAAGCTCTCAAGCTCTTCCAAAGAAAACCCTCAGGTTTTTAAGCACTTAGCTCTCAAATATTCACCAACCATTCCTTCTCAAAATATCTCATATATATAGGCCATAGAGGGGAACTAAACAGCCCAAACAGCCATAAATATCCAGCACAGGACTCAGGGCAGACTTTCGGTTTCCAGCATAGGAAAACCAACAGCAGCAAGCCAATTAAAAGCCACGGTAATAGCAACAGAGAAGTTAAATATTATTCTTATTATAAATTATATTTACATTTGTATTATATATTTTCTAAATTTTGTAAGTATATTTAATGCTAATATATTTATATTTATAATATACATATATTTATATTCATATTAATGATTAACCAAGCTTTTTATTACACTTGATATCTCTTTAATCGAGCTTGTTCAAGAGTCTTAATTGAGGTAATTATATATTCAATATTAAAATTTTCATTTATTATAAAATTTAAATTATAATTAAATAATTCTAATATTTATTACGTCATCCGGTTAAACCCCGATTCAACCCGGTTGAACCATTGCACCTTGAACTACTCCTGGTTCTATACTCGGTTCGGTTTTCACAATCTTGGTTATAACATTTATATCATATAAATGTTTCATGTTGGTGTAGTTGACTACCAATGTCATAAATAGGGGTGTCAATTTTGAGTCACGGGTCGAACCCGAAACTGACCCAACACTATTCGGGTCAACCCGAACCCAACCCGTTTCAACAAACAGGTCGGTTTTTCGGACCGAACCCGACCCGCTTCGGATCTGGGTCAACCCGACACGACCTAAATGACCCGGGACGAACCAAAAAGTGCTAGTTGTCAGGTCAAAATGGGTCAATCTCTAATATTCGGGTCAAAACGGGTTTTCGGTTCAAAACGGGTCAATTTCGAGTTTCTGGGTCAACCCGAACCCGACCCAATTTTTGAAACGGGTCGATTTGCTAAACCCAAACCTAACCCGTTTCGGGTCTGGGTTGACCTTATCCCGGAATTTTCGGGTCACGTTCGAGTCAAGTTTTCGGGTTGTGTCAAATATTAACACCCCTAGCCATAAATATATCAATGGTTTTTGCTGCCCCATGCCTTCAATGTCTTAAGATGGGGAACTATACCAAGTTTTCCATGCAAGCCATTGTTACATGATAGAGCAAATCCATCTCACTTCATTGATTGGACACCTCGATGGGAGCAACATTGTCAGCAATTGATCATGTTCTGGGATGAGTATTAATTAAACCTTTTAGTGACAATTTATTCAAATTTTAGTCTTGAGGACTCATTTCCCTCATTTTGAATAGTATATGTAATCATTTCACTTTCCTGAACGAATTTGTATTTCAGTTCGCTTATCGTCATTAGTATACCATTACATTATGTGAATTATTTTCTTGTAATAAGAAACTGCATGACTTGATCTTAAATTTTGGCTTATGCCATGTCTGTGGAGTTTAAAAATCTCTTTATCATGTCTAGTTGCTGGGGTGTACCACCTTGACCTTAGCTTTTGGTTTATGCCATGTGTATAAAGGTTAAGTCCCTTCATCAAGTTCAAAATGTCAGGGAACTGCCTTACGGACCCAAAAGTTGTGACCAGGCTTCTAGTCAAGATAAGCACCATACAATGAAACAAAACACACCGTAATATAAACATAAAGGGAGTAATGCTATGTGCTGCATTTGTATCCATAAAAACGCTGAAAAAAAAAAAAAAAAAAAAAAAAACATAACTGGGAGATCAGAACAAGAGTGTGGATTTATGCATGTGAAAGCACACATTTCTGCATCATAGATTGATCATGTTCTTGAAAGAAAGCTAATCAAAAGGTAAAAGAAAAAAAAAAGTGAACTTCTTAAATTATAGTGATCATTCGTGAAAATGAAGACTAGTACCAGTTAGATCCTCCATATTTGCAGGCTTGACATCAACAATATTAAAACTCTGGTTACTAATTTCCAGATTCCAAAGATTTATGCGCAAATCATCAGCTGAAATGAATGTCTCGCCATCACTAGAAGCATGGCAAACAAAACAATAATGAGAATGCGATATTATAAGAAACGCAACAGTCAAATAAATGGGTAAAGCATATCTAAAGAATATAAAGCGTGCAGCCATGCATGTACATAGAAGGTCATGCATTACCAAAAGCATGACCCAGAAATCTTTTTTATTAGGTGCACCATAAAAATTGTAAGTATTGTAGGGTAGATTAAAAGCAGGGGAAAATTCATCACATCATCATAAATCAAATTATCACATGTACTAATATCCAGTAATAATAATGATTAAAAACTGAAAACAGCTACATATAAGTAAATCAAATACACACAACATATCAACGTGAATACAAGCAATGCAATAACAAAACTGCTGAAACTGGAGAAAAACGCAATTGAGTAAACAAAATTCAAGAAGGTAGGCCAAGATAATAGAAAACTAAATCAGCACTAATCAATAAATCAGATGACCACCCACCCCTGAAACACCAAAATATTAAGGAAAAAGAAAGGAAACGGATGAAAGAAAATAATAAAAGCTGCACCCAGGAAAAAACAGTTTGAAAAGAGGGAAACAATCAAAATTTTGAATGGCTTATGCATTCTGCAAAGAGTGAGCTAAATGCGCTGATAAACAATAAAATCAAGCATTATTCATCTCAACAGAATGCTGTTACAGCTTTAATGATGGTAAAAAATTTATTGTTAAAATTACCAATAATAGTGAAATTACTAGGCTACATCCACTCCCATAGTCACTCCAATGGAAACCAGAAGAATGAAGCAGCTGATAATCAGCCATTGAGCACATGCTTCTTATTTCTTTTAACATGTTGGCTGTGCAAGTCGATGCAAAATACTAGAAATTATGAGATGCCAAGGGCTCAACATCAACTAGAACATAAAAATTGAAAAGAACTTTGCTTATGATGAAGCATTCAAATGGCATGTCCCTGTAAGTTGGTTTAAGGGTTACTATCTAACAAAAATACTTGAGGCCTGATGGATCAAGCAAGCTATATTAAAAAGCCTGCCAGGAGTTGTGCAGATAGGAACCATTTTTATATAAAAATGTGCCCCTGCTTAGTCATTTCCAATCCAACCAGCAAGTACAAATAGGTTCAAGCTTAATGAAAAATAGGTCAATCTGCATTTCAGCATAAAGCTTCCAAGTTTGCCTATAGATAGTTTAAATTATGAATATCTTAAAACTGTGTTTTCCCATTGCGAGGTGCTCTTTTAACCCCAAAACTTGGAATTTATCCATTATGTTGAACGGAAGAATTTTAAATGTGACTTGCTTGGGAATGGGAATATTGACAGGGGTTCTTTTGTTAAGGGGATAGTGATGTTAATGGCAGCTGTTGGTCATCAGTGCTCAAAAACTGCTCACGCAAAATCAGAGTCAATTAATTTTGTTTAATTAGTTGGGTGACTTATTGAGTCAATAAGAACCTTAATTATCACAAGTAAGCATAATCTTGCCTATTTAAGTCAACCTAATCGACCTAATTAAGAACTTAAACACAAAAGCCAAGTAGGTTTTGTTTGATATGGATGACTGATTTTGCTGGATTTTTTTAAGATAATCATAAAAGATTTAAAATAAAGAAGCTATGAATTGATGTGCCTATAAAGTTAAATCGGACCCAAATCATACTGGTTAACTTGTTGAAGCCATTATTATGACAGCAGTTGGCAATACATTCAGCTCAATCACTGTTTCGTTTAATTAAAAAGCAGCTCAATTATTTATTAGCCATTTAATGGGTTGGCAAAAGAGCTTAAAAAGAAGATGAAAGCCACATGTCTTGTCACTAGAAAGACACATTTCCATATCCCCTTCCTCTTATAGTTCTTGTTTTCATTTTCTAATGGTTGGTCGCCGAAGTCCTTGTTTTGAATTACATGTCCCTACATCATCTCCAATGTTCTTACATGATGGGGCAACACAATGCATGAATACAAATAATCTAGTGATAAATAATGAAAACTAAAGAGAACGTTGCTATGCTTCTTCCAGTCTATCTTCTACTTTCATGTCAAACGTAAAACGCAAGATGCATTCTGCTTGAGATTTCAATCTAATTCAGCACAAAAGGAAACAATCCCCACTGCAGCGATGAAGCTTGTATGCAAGCCCGCCGTGCAGATCCCTTTAGGTCATGCTTCCCATGATCCAGCTCTCCCGCTCATGATCTCTTGGCCCCAATCCCCTTCACCGACACAAACCTAATACACTCACACTCTCAACCTTGCTCACCCACTTGCTCTCTACACCACAACACCCAGCCCTCATTCGACTTGGCCATGGAAATGTCTCTCTATTGTGTTCTATCTCTCCTCATGAATCACCTTCAACCCTCCACATCTGCTCCCTCTGCGGCATGAACTCTAATTAATCCCAACTTTCAACCACAAACGTCACTTATGCCTCTAACATTGTTCGCTCTCCTCTTACCAATTGCTTGAGTTCCAACTGTGAACCCATCCTCACGTTCTTAGGGTCCATCTCTCTGAGAACCCACTCCTTAAGCAAAATAGATATAATACAAGTATAACCTAGCAAATGCCATTTGTCATTTTCCCATCTCAATTGTACAAATCAGGGCCACACCCCAATATGATAGTTGTTTGTGATGTAGAACGAAAAAGGCAGGGTTTGCTACTTTGGAAGATTTCAGCCAGCCGAATGTTCAAATCCCAATTCTTCCCAGATAGGATCAATGAAATCTGGAATTCACTGGGTGATGCTCTTGAACAATAGATGGCAAGGAAGAAGTTCTCTTATGCAATCCTATAGGGAGAAGAGCCCAACTCAAAACCTAAAATAAGTTTCAGGTTTTGGTGTGTAGACGGGAGGACGTTGGGGGAGAAAAAAATCAAAGAAAAGGGGAATGGGGGAGTTCGGCCAGCAGAAATCAGAGGGATTAAGGCTGTTAAGCTGAGAAGAAAATTCCCATCCACGTCAAATTCTGGCAGCAATTTGGGGTGCAGAAAACTTATGAAACGGCTCAGTTTCTGGAAGGAATTTTGGGGAAATAAAACAAGCAAAACAATTAAGGAGGAGGCGGTGAGATGTTATTCAGCTATTTTGTTTTCCTAGCTAGTTTTTGCATTTCAAAACTAAAAAATGTTATGCATTAATGTCAAACTCAATCTAGATACTCACTCAACAAAGAATTGAAGTAAATATTATGAAGGAATCTGTAATGATGCTCACAAATTTCAACCATTAACACGCTAAAAAGTATAATCTGAATCCTGTCACTTTAGAAGCAAGTAATGGCTATCAAAGAGCCATAATTCGTAGGCATTAGATATAACTCATGTGTCCTACCATCTTTTGACATATCCAAAAGGTTATAAAACATGCAAATTTTCTGCCTCTTCTCACAATTAGTCATAAAATGTGCAATCTAATAATGTCAATCTTCTGATCATAAAATACTACATTTTCTTTTTTCCTTGGCCAAGCAAGAAAAAAAAAGATGAAGTATTTAAGTTAAGCCCTACAAAGCCCGCTATCATTTAAAAAAAAAATCAGATTCTTGAAAAGTGTTGCTTCTGCCATGAAGTTTCCAAGCATACAAACAATCAGATGCATATACATGAGAAAATAAAGCAAAAAAATAATTATTATATAAGGAATGACAAAAACTAATTTACTGACATACGCAATGAAAAATATGATGATGGAAACAACAATATATATATCAAATGATGTGCATCTTAATGATATATATATATATATATAATCGAACAACAACATTCTCTAAGCATTACATATTGCATGTCATATATGTACTTTCACGCATGATCATAAATGATATTCGCAAGCTTTCAAAAATCGTGCAACTAGCATTTTTGTCAACAGTGTTACAACAATACCTATCAATCCTTCCATATTTACCACCATGTTAATATTTATGCTAAGGCACAATTTATAACTCACAATGCTGGTTTGGTTAATTAGGCAGATTGGCCAAATATTTAAGTTGGAATTTACTATCTCCAATTGATCCAAAGACGCTAGTGAATTGGAAGTTACTATCTCCAATTGATCATAAGACCCTAGTGAATCATTGTCTTAATATGAAAGTTAAAATATGCACTACATTGAAAATCAAAGTTAAACCAACTTGAGTAATTGTATGCATTGAGATGACGGAATAATGGTTTGATTAATCAGGTAGATTGGCCAAACTGGGTTATATTGTAGACTTCAGATGATGGAATAATGGAATCTTGATCTCCATTCCCCCAACCATTTTCCATTCAATCAAAAACCTCCTTAATTGAGAGTACTCTCCCATGGCATGAGGGACAATTAATTATGGGAGCTTTTGCCCATAAAAAATCTCAATCCTAAATCAAAATAAATCATGGTCTGGTGTTAGAGGAAATCTGATTAAAATAAACCTAACCTGCCTTAAAAAATATTACTCTGAGTCCTCTCTTACATATCAATGAAGCTTACAGGAAGGGATTGACTTTTTCCTAAGGAATCAAATTAACTTCATCAACTACAATGATGCTTGACTTTTAAAGTACAAATGCAAATCATTCCATCAGATCATCCTTCTGATCTCAGCTCTATGACATATCGGTCCATCTCACTAAACTATCAGTCCATTTTCTAAGCTTTCTGTAATTCTGGCAAAGGTTATCCCAACTTTTATTCAGTTTTCCACCATCTCTTATCATTCAAGAGATAAGTCTGAAGTCGTTTATATAGGGAATGATACATTGAACAAATTATCATGATCTGCAAGAATTCTCATACTTTCCAAATATGAAAACATAAAAAGATTTTTTCCAAGAAAAAGTAAAGCCTAAAATGACAAATGCATTGCACATCAAGTATAGCACCATAGAGATAGTAAACGAACCTGTTATTAGAAATAGAATTAATGTGATAATCATGAGCATGAGTATATACTCTTCGACATCTGGCCAGAAGGCTTGTTTCTTGGCTAGGTACCTAAACAAAAACGTACACAATAAATGTCAGCCTCTGAGATTGATGAAGTTAGCAAAGACAATCTTAAAAAATATATGTTCTGGTAAATAGATGAAAATAAAAGAAAAAAAATGGACTGAATCTGAAAAGCTTTCAATCTGCAACATGCATAGGTTTAAAGTTTCCTGATTATTTATTAGCAGAACCTCATTTGACAAATATTTTAGTTATTTCATATTAAACCCGTTTGCTTGTTTCATAGAACTTCGAGTATGCAATTCTAGACTACTTGTTCGCTCTAACACATTTGGTAGGAATCCGCATTATTGCAACACAAGCAAAGAGTTAACCTCAGGTTAAAATCTCTGAAATAAACAAGTTCCGGATGAATTGAAGACATAATAATTTTATCTGCCGTTCATTAGCTGACACTAAAACAGAAATCACGTAGAAACTTATAGAAACCTCTGCAATTATAAAAAGTAGCTAATCTGGAAAGCCAATAAGTGTTTAAAGATCAACTATGATCAGGAGTTATAAGCAAAAATTGTACGTTGGTAATATAAAATGTTAACACTGCATTCACTAAAAAACTGTGCCATAGATTTTGAAATATAATGCATTTATTCACTAAGAAGGGCTGAGTACAACCACCACAGGAAGACGCAATGTAGGAAACCCTCCAGGAGGAATGTTGATGTCATGGCTCAGATTCTTGTATGGAACTTCAGAACACGCACCATTTGGGAGGTACACCCTTGGACTAGATGTATTTGAGCTAGAAATGTTACCATTTCCAGCAGCTTGTGAAGGATCCACATTCATCTCAGAAATTCTCTTGACTTTCTTCTCTTGCACCTGCATGGTAACAGGAGATGGTATACTATAATGTTGGAGATAAAATGAACGTAAAGCACAAGGGAGGCTGTCTTCACAAAGGAAAAACTATTTAAAATGCAACCCATAAGTGCATGCTAGAGTGTCAGAAATCTATATTTTTAACCCTAATATATAAGAACATAAAGTCCCTTTGAATTGCATGTAACATAAAACAAAAAAATACTAAATCTTTAAATACTTGGAAGTTTGATATATCATAAACAATACAACAACAATAATAACAACAACATCAAGCCCACTACATGGGATCGGCTACATGAACACTACTACTACAAAAAAAAAAAAAAATTTGCCCATCCAAGGGAGTGAGGATTTGTTGATGTAAAAGAGATTCAAATCATGATTTATCCTCTCTTTTTTTTCATCAAAGGCAGTAAAATAATGTTTTAAGATAAATCGCTTGCTTCTCTCAAACTTACACATTTTTTGAGTATTTGGTTGCATATAAATATATATTGCTTGATAGATCCGCATTCCCTAGATCCTAGAATTACCTCGTCAATTTTGGTATCAAAACTTAAGATGATAGTATACTATCAACTAGATGTAGGGCGTAATATGAAGAGTTAGCTAAAAATAAACAAAAAATGTAATTTAAACAAAATAAACTTAATTACGACTCATGATAATTTCAGCACAACTATTGAATTAAGAATAATATTCTCACATTTGATAGGAGACATAATTCTAAGATAATTTTAAATCATATATATAAGATAAAGAAATTCTTTTAATCGTATAATATGCATGATTTTCAAGGAATTGAATTTGTTAAAATAAAATTTTGAGGAATTTACTCAAACATTTTGGCAAAGTGTGGCAAATAAAGTGAAACCTAATTGGGTTAACATGAAACATAATCTTTAAAAAAATATTGCAATTCTTCTATCATAGAGAAAAATTGTATGACGAATTTAAAAAAAATACATTAACTAAGTTGCAATTCTTCAAAGATAATAGATGAAGCTAAGTCTAACTATAGACTTTTAGTGATTTAAATATATTTTACTCATCATTCTGTTACAACTATTACTCCTCTCCTTAAATTCTTTAAGGAAAAATCTTCTCTATCTAGCCCAAAGTTTTGCAAACAAAAATCAACAATAATGATACATATAGCCAAATGACTTAAATTTATACTATTAAAAAAATCATAATTCAAGAATATAATTAAAAAAATGAATTCGATGCATGAAAAATTCATAGTTACATAATAACTCTAAATATGATATTTTATTTAAACCTAAACTGAATCTGCACAAGAACCTAACTTCAAACTCCTAAACCTAAAAATGAAAAGGAGTCAAAATCTAAAACATAAATTAAAATTGAGTATAAAACCATATTTGAATCCAACCTTCAATAAGAATGTAAATATATTCCTAACTTTGAAACTGAATATATCATAAATGTTGCCGTTAAATTATTTTCGCAATCTGATAATGTAAAACCTAATGAATTATTTATTGAAAATTCCCTATGTCGACACATCAAACATATATTGATTTCTTGATTCACAAATTCATGAAAAGAATATTATTCATCATGTTGAACTACATGAACATTCCCTCGAATTTATTCATGATAACAACCTTCAAGGAAATGTGAAATTTAAAACTCCATATTCATAATCAAATCAAAACATTCTTAACTCATTACAATTTTCTCTATTTAAACCATTATGGCTTTTCATTAAAGAGGTCTGTCCACAATATATACTTGTCTTATTTGAATCAAATCCTCAAAAGAAGACTTTGTGGAATCTTATAAATATTTATTGTTTAATCTTTTGCCCTCATTATCTAAATAGTGTTCATTTGAAAACACATAATTATTTTGTCATTACCATTGGATATGTTATATCCTATTGCATAACTCATTACTCATATGTATAATTTGCCTGAGCATTGGAAACGGTCAACAACCATGAAAATTAAAAATCTTATCTAGAAAAAATGAATAAAATATTCAATGAATTATGATGAGTGCATACAAGTTAGCAATCCCATGACACTCTAGTATTACTTAAAATTTCTAATGTATCAAATCTGACTTTAAGTCATGAATCATCAATTCATTCACTATATTTTTCTCATTTTCCACCACCTCCTTTCACATAAAATAAATGATATGCATATTTATTGGATAATATTATCAATATTATCTCATGGAACTATTATTGGTGACAAAATCATGCCACTTTTGATGGAACACATTTTGCAAGCATTTATTTGCTCTTTTGCCCTCAACTTTTTAGAATCATCTGAATTTCCAGCAGCCTGAATCTCGCTAACTCAAGTTTGCAAAAATGGTTCTACGAAACAACAATCGTAAGTCATGTTGTTACCATTTCAAAGATGAGCTCTCTTCATTTTCCTATTTTCTAAAATTTTGGTGAAATCTAAAATTTCCCAGCATTTATCCGATGATAACATGAAATACAGCATTTTAAAACTTTTCCCCTTATTTTTGTAACTTGTTATCTTTAAATCTTGCTCGAAAAAACTGCTCTTCCAGCATTTTAGTTTGCATCCAAGCATCTAACATGACATTTACTATCTTTTGAACATTGCAAAAAGGATCAGCATAACCTTGCCCAATCTTGTGCTACTGCCCTACATGACTCTAAATAAATGAGATAAATGAACACAAGTTAAACTGCCACGGCCATGATCATAAATTACCATAAAAAGGACAGCTGCTATTTAATTAAAGGGAATATTTCCCAGAAGGAGACTTAACAGCAATATCAATTATGAAATTGGAAAAGAGAAACGCACACAATTGCTTTCACTTGACGTGAGGTGGTAAGCTACAACCAAACAGGCAGCTCAAATTTGTCGTTAAGTCTCCTTCTTGGAAGGATTCCTAATTCTTTTTTTTTTATTTAGTTTGAGATGCAGTCCCCCACTATCACAGACTGTATTTAGTTAAAAAACAGTTTACTCTGAGTGATAACGAAAAGAGAGTACTTGTTTGAGTGAAAAGAGAACAGGCTGAAGGTAAATACATCATTCCAGATTCAAGCATGTTATGTAAACAGCTGCAGTCAGCTTTAAAAATATTTTCAAAAAACAATATCCTAAACAGCATTGACAAAACCTTTCACATAAAAACAAATGAAAAACATGCAAATGTTATTTAAGCTTTAGACCAACAGTTCTATGACTTTGAATTTACATTTGAATTCATAATATAAGCGTATGAGATTGCACATTGATATCAGAAGCTAACAAGCTAATGGTACGAGAAATATGAAAATTAACAAAATAATCTGCTAAAAGACTGATATGTTTACAGGGTGATATTGAACTGAGCTCAAGCAAGTTATTCGTAGCTTGAAATCAAATGTTTCAGTCATGACTCAAGTCAAACTAGAGTTGAGCAAAAAAAGATTAATTTTAAGTCAACTTTTGAGCTAATTTGAGCCTCCAAGTTCTAATTTTTTTCTTAATTTATATTTGAGATTATTTATATTCTCGAATAGAAGTTCGGAAAAATAAAATAAAATAGTAGCTACAAAACATAACAGTTGACTCAAATTGATTTGTGTGTATAATATTAATATATATATATATATATGTGAGTGTATGTTTGTGTGTGTAACAGAGAGAGAGAAAAAGAAAGAGAGAGAAAGAGATAGTTTATAGATTGTGTTGAGACACACAAATACATGTGTGTATTGAGTTTATTTTAAGCTGAATCAAACTAGTTTGTAGCGAGTCGTCACAGGTAACAGTAAATTGAATTTAATTCAAGGCAGTTAAAACTCGAGTATCATAAATTTTAAATTAAAATTTAATTATCAGCTCTATGCTTATTGTACACTTCAGAGTAAATGTTAAGGAAACAACCAACTCAACAATGGGGCATCAAGATATCTCCTACATGAATCAAAAGCATAAAGTTCAAACATTTAATAACTAAATTAGAACCTGAGCATCAATAAGACAACTAGTAATGCTCAAGATGGAGAAGCATAGCAACGAAACCAAAAATGAAATATAGCCAGTAAATAATTAAGACAACAATGGTAACGCTGATAATAACTGAGCATATAAATTTAAACAGCAAATAAGCACACGAAAAGAGAAAAGAAATAAACAAGAAAACAATTTTATTCCAAGGCAACTAACAAAATAAACATCAATTATAAATTTATTATTTAAAGCAACCACCAAAGATTTTTTTTTAAATAAAGAAAATTGTTTAATGAAAGGAACTCCCTTAATATACAATGGAACACAAAAAACGTTGGGGTGTACAAATCCGTCCACCCCCCTGCATGCACGCATAAATAGATGCAATAAGAGAATCTTTTATATGATAGAATAATTTATTCTGGCAACTGATGGAGGAAATAGGAATATCCGCTAATAACTACACGTTGCCTTAAGTTTCTAAAAAGATGACTATTTCTTGTTGCGCTCTAACAAAAAATGCCCCAGTGATAGAGTTGAAGCAGAAACGTGTTTGAATGAAAACATTGCCTAGAAAAGCAGAAGAAAATTAAAGGAGTGAAAATTTACCTTCCAAAACTTGATAGTTTTGTCATTAGTTGACAGAAGAAACAATGCGCTGTTAGAAGTTTGGCACCACCTGATTTTGTTGATTTTCTCTTCTATTTCCAAGCTTTTCAGGTAGTCAAACTGAACGCATAAAAAAAGGATTGTATGGAGAAAAGGAACTGTTGAGCGAATCCTTTTTAATGAATTTAGTCAAGATGAATACCTCAGGTTCATGACTCTGAAATTCTGTTTTGTATCGAAATTCAGGATGCCTGCTAATTACATAATCTTGCCTCTCAAGATCCCTTCTAGAACCATGCTGCACAATGGATGTAGATAAATTCATAAAACTGTACAAATAATAAAGAATAAAGATGTTAATAGGCAAATTTTAGCAAAAAACAGGGAAGCCCTAATACCTCCTTAAGATCTGTCCTCTCGAATAAAACCACACGCCCTCCTCTGTCTCCAGTGGCAAGATGGTCTCCAGATTTATCAAATTCAATTGCAGAAATAATGTCAACTGCAAGAGATATTAGTTCACAAAAGAAAACTAACAATAAGGTGAAGAGGGACAACTTGCAGCAGAAGTAGAAATGTGAGAACATCAAAAATAATGCCAACAAATAGGAAAAAAATACAAAATGACAGGCAAAGGAAGGTTGCAACTTCAACAATGGGTTCTAGGAGACAAATGACAGCATTAAGAAGGGAAACGGTAATAACATTGTTAAGCGTCATTGAAACCTACAAGATGTAGGAAATACTAAATGAGTAAATGTACAACATTACACACTACAATGAGCAACAGTGGAAAGTCTTGTGAATATTATATAGCAATCACAGCATAAAAAGGATCTCAACTTATGTCTAGGGATGTAAACGAGCAACACATAAATGAGCAAAGCTCTGTGTGATGTGAGCTCAACTTATTAATTTATTTATTGTTCGTGTTTGATGCATGCACATAAATGTTTGATTTTTCTCTATTCTAGCTTGATTCATTATTGTTTGACTTATTCATGATCCACTTGCTAAAAGCTCATCAAGATGGATTCAAAATCATTTAATCGGATGGCTAAGAAAAATAAGCAAAAACAACATTAAGGTGGATTTAAGCTTAAGTCTCTCATGCAGCAAATTGTTTGAACTCTTCAACCACGCCATAGCTCAATGTATTAATTTACAAATTGTTAATAAGTACCTCATGCAATGATGTCCTGCAACACCCCCAAAAAAAAAACGAAATCAATTAAATTGAACCAAAGCAATTCTTTCATTATTTAAGAGGAGGCATTGTAAGCCTTATAGCCCTAACATAAGGAATGGAATGAGAAGTGAGAAGGGGCATAGAGCGAGAGGGCACAAAAGGAAGTAAGTAAACGGGCAATCGAGTGAGAGAATAAGGAGGATGAGAGTGACAGAGGTCATAAATTTTTCATCATCAACAGAACAGTGTAGCACTTTATCAAAAAAGCTCTATTCCTTAGCTCTTATTTTATTTTCTTCAGCTTTCTTTCATAAGTATTCCCTTCTTTTCTAAGAGAGGCTGGCAATAATATATTTTCTAATGATAATGCTTCCAAGTGTGAGGATTTGTCTCCACCTAGCATTTTATGCTCATCCTCTACCATTAAGTTTGAAACCCATAAATAAATAAAAGAGAGAAAGAGACCTAAACTATATAAGGGATTGTTTGGTTGAAAGTATTTCGAATTCAAACATATTATAAATACAGTATAAATTATAAAGTAAACCTAATGCATTTGAAATAATTTTTTAAATTTTATTTGTTGTAGAATAAATTCAGATGATTATTTTTGTGTGTTTAGATTGCTATGAATTAAACTCTATAAGTTGGCACTGAGTTTGGGGGGTTTATCGTAATTGTGACAGAGCGATGGTGGCATGTAGGAGTTCGATGGGCATGAAGCTAACACATGTGTAGCATACCTCAGCGTGAAGCCTCACAAAGTGTTGGCACAACAAAGGCATGTTTTGTAGGTTCGAGTGTGAAAGGCATGCATTGCGAGTGTTGGTATAGCTGAGGTGTGTGCAAGTTGTCGTGGATGTCAATTGTCATCATCAGGGAAGGTGCAAGGTAGCGTCAATGTATGCGATACATAGGTGTGATTCAAGGGAGTCTATGCAAAAGCGTCAAGTGAGGCCTCAGTGCAGAGGTGTGCGAGGGAGGTTGTAGGTGATTTCATTTATGCTTCATTTCCCCACTTGCGATGTAATCGAAATTCACCTAAATTGACAAATTCTAAATACACAAAAAATGAGCTATTAGAGGAGCTCCAAATATCTCAACAAATTACTTTATATTTATTTTCATTCTAACCAAGCACCTAAAATTTAAAAATCCTTGCAAATGATTTACTTTATACTCCTAATACATCCAAGCAAACATCCCCTTAATCTATTTTTTAGTAAACCAACTTTATTTATATATAATATATATTTTTTTTTTTATAATAGAGTCGCCTTAGATGATTTGGTCATATAAAATGTCGTATGTTCGATAATACTGTTAGGAGAGTAGATGTATTAGATATGGCCTATGTTAAGAAAGGTAGTGGTAGATTGATAGGAAGTGGATGTAGAAATTTAGAAAACCCTTGGCTGAAGTTTGATTTCAATAAAACCAACGTACATAAAACAAGAAAAACTAGGAATATAAACACTCAAGACACTTTTATTGAAAGATTTGTGAAGGAAATAGCAAGATACAAGTGGATCTTCAATTTGGAGAGAAAGATCCGACTCTCCCAAATCCCTATTCGTCAACTAGAGCCTTCACAACCTAAGAAATTTTAATTTCAGCAAACACAAGCAATCAAGCATAATCTGAAATCAGCCTATTGTTAATCTTAAATAGGCTCCCCTAATTCCCTCTCAAATCAATCATATTTTCCTAAATAATTCCATTTCATATTTGAATTCAAATTAGATCTCTTTCCGTAAATAGTTTTATCCCAATTGTAATTAAAACTTTCTAAATAATTCTCCTTTGATTAAAAATATTTCTAATTAGTTCCCTCTTGATTATGAAACTTCCTAATTCCCTCCCAATCAAATCGGTCGGTCCATTAACACTCCCCTCCCAAAGTGTCATCTTGTCCTCAAGGTGGAACGAATGAAACTATTGTTGAAACACTTCACTAATAGCACTTGATTGATAAATGGACTATCACTGGATCGAATGATCCCTGCTCCAGCATCTCCCTGATCAATCGGTTGATCTCATCCTTCTGGAGTTGGGGAGAACGGTACGAACGAACACTGATATGTGAGACTCCTTTCAAAATGATAGCATGCTCGTTTTCCCGCGGAGGAGGTAACCCCTGAACTGGCTGGAACACCTCTCGATATTGTTGTAGGAGTGGTTGAACCAAGTATGTTGCTTATATCATTTTTCTCATCTTCTTTTCCTTTCAAACTCTACATCTCCACCAAAAATATCACTCTTTCACCCTTTCCCCTCCTTGGAAGTGGTTCCAAAGGTGGCATCTCCTCTTCTTTTCCAACTCTTGATTCTCCCTCATTATCTTTATATTAGGTTTTCTCCAATTTCCTTGTCCGATCAACGCTGCTCTCGCCTCCGATGTTGTTGGTTTGGTTTGGGCCTCGAGCACCTTCTTCATTATCTCCTCCATAATAACAAATTTCTCATCGATATTCTCATAGATTGCTGAAAATTATTTTTTGAAATCTGAAATCTTTTCTACAAAATCATATTTCAATTGTCTGATCTCCCTTTCCAGCACTTCTACGTTTCTTCCCGTCATAGATACCTGGATCTAGGTTCCAAACAGCAAAAAACAACGAAAATGGTCTTCCAACAGCAAAAATAAGCAAGGTGAAGGGAACAAACGCAGCAGAAATCAGCGAGGAAGACTCATATTTCAGCAGAGGACACTGCTCTGCTAGCAATTTGATAAGAAGTGGATGCAAAAATTTCATCAATTTTCCATTGATTCATTATTAGTAGATAATATTTGTTTGTGCAAGAAAGTTTGTTGTCCTACAAATTTTTCAAGTTCTATCACAACAAACAAACAAAATTAGAGCAATGAAATATGGTTTTTTAAGCAATAGAAATGTAAAGCATTTTGGAATTTGATTTTGTCAGTCAAGGATTTAGCATGAGTCATCTTTACAATGTCCAATGTGGTTTAGAATTTGTTTCAACTTTCTATTTCCATCTTATGTAGAAAATTCATAAAAGATTTATTGAGGATAAAATTAGCTTAGCATAGCATTCATAATGCTATATATTAGATTTGCATTAGAAAACCACCAACACAAAACATCAAGCAACGAAGACATTTCTAGCTTGAATTCGAAAATCTTATGGTTCTTATGAATACATTGAATCCTTCTTTTCAATGTATAAATCAATAGAACACGTCATCCACTAAAATCTCTTTCATCCATGTCCATCCCCAAGGCAACAATGCTTTTGATAGGGTTTCGCATAAGGGTCAATAACTCTTATCTACCCAAACCAATCCACCATTATAACTAATGTTTTGTTGTTTTGGCTGACACGTGGAGAGAAAACTAAAAACGAAGGTGGAATTCTTGTGCTGACATACTTATCAGTTATCATGGTCAAAAAAAACATGTCTAAATGTGCATTTAGCATAGATTAGATAGGGCCATGCTCAAACGTTCTTTGAAAGTTTTAAGCATCAACAATACTCTTGAGAAGAAGCATAGACAAAGCTGGAGTTTTTTTCTGACATATCTACCATTGCCAATAAATAAATAAACATGCATCGAGCACAATTTAGTTAGACCGTGCAGAATCAATTGTTAAAATTCTCGAGCTTTCACAATGATTCAAACCATAAATAATCTTGTTTGGACAACATGATCCATGCACTTTGCACAAGGGCTATACTTCTATATTTAGTTATTCTCCAAAAGCATAATAAGATATATATTTTGCTGTATTTGCCTTCCATCTAGCCTTCGTAGCTAAGTGTTCATTGTAAATCAAAATTTCTTGAAAAGGATTCTGAGAATATCAAACTCCAAGCTTTCTTCATGTAGACTACGCAAATTTGAGCAAATCATCAGTATTATCCTTTCAATATTACTAAAAAGCTCATTTTTGGGAGCAATCGCGAGCAAAATATTTCATGATTCGGCACAATTTATCGCTCATGCATACTGTTGCTTTTGAATGCTTCTTAAGAATATTGAAAATTCCGTAGTCAACAGCCAGTATTCATGGAAAAAGAGCATTACAGAGAAGATTAAAAAAAAAAGACTCTTCTGTATCAATCTAAATATAAACTAAACAAGGATAAAGAAAGGGTAGCATGGTAAAAGGAAATGCTTTCATCTACAATGCCATAACAGGAATTTCGTTGATTCCATAACAAGAAAAAACATTAAACAGATGCATCTAAAGCAACAATAAATTAGATAAGCGAGGAGATAAATGGTCGGTTGTGTGCATATCCACGAAAACTCAAGTTCGTATCTTAATGGAGCTCCTCAGAAACACAAAATAAAAAAGAGAGCACCTGACTAATCCCAGTTCACCAGCAGAATATTCAAAGAATACAAGCTCCCTTCTCTATCTTAAACACAGTCTTCGGTTATCTATCCCCTTCTATTTCAGTACAATACTTCGAGCAAATTTCTAACAGATCCTAAGTGCTCATCGGCTGGAACTACCAATCGTAAACTGCGTAATAAACATCGACTACCAGAGTCCAGTGAGTAGTAGATCTAGACCAGAATAAAGGATGCGGAGGGGCATACCTTCCTGAACTTCTTCGCCGGCGGTTCGCTCGCCAAAGACCTGAGAGAATTTCCAATCAAGCGGCGGCGACGCCGAGGAGGACGCTGCCGTGCCGTCCTCGCCTCCTCCATTACCGGTCATGTTCCAAGCTGAATTCCAGCGAAAGCTTCGGCTTCAAGATCGGCTTGTGCATCCAAAATCCCTGCCCTCCCGAGATCGCGATTCCCGCGATGGAGATCAGGCGTTGCAGCAGCTCGCCTCGTTTGTTAGGAGAATCGAGCCCGACTCAGCGATAGTGAAGGAGAGAGAAAGGGAGACGGAGATGAACCGACGAGGGTTTCGGCAGAAGGGCCAGAGAATTGCTACTCCCTTGTCTTCCTCCTCTTCCGCACCAAGAAATGATGTCGTGACTTCTTTCTCCCTTTATTTTCTCTCAGTTTTTCGTCTTTATTACTGTCTTCATGTTTCCATTTCATTTTGAGAGTCATAGTGCTGCTTCGGTTAGATGAGTGAAAAAAATAGATTTGTCGGGTGTATTTAGTCATTTATATGAATGAAAGTAAGCTTTATATTTCAACAATATTCGCTAAACAAAAAACAAAATAAAATACAATTTTAAATATATATATATATATATAGTCCTTTAAAAAAGAGAATAATTTTATTTTAGTAAAACTTTCAGCTCGTAACTTTTTATAAATTATAGAGATTGATATTATGAACGTTTTGAATTTTTATTTGAGATTTAATTCTCGATGATTTTGAAAAAACAACGGCTATTATGTATTTAAAATTTTATTTTTAAATCTAAAAATAATATTTTAATTCAATAAAAGCTTCATAATATTGTTATATACAATCTTTAGTAATTTTATGAAATTCTGAAAATATGATTATTATTATTTTTCGGTTGGGTTTTTTTTTTGCCCAATTTTAGGACATTTTGACACTTTTTGAATTAAACTCAATTTTGTTTTATTTATTGCAATATATTGAAAATAAATATGAATAAGTAATTAAGTAATAGCTGGTCGCTATTACAGTTATAATATTGTGATAATAATGTGTGGAGGGAAACAAGTAAAGAATGGTTATTCACTTACATTTGTTAGAGACTTATTGAACTATGTAGGATGGTGGGCAGACGGACTTTCCTTTAAATATTATGGTTTGATATTACCCTCTAGTGACTCATGTGATACACTGAATGAGAGTTATAAGGAGATTATTATTGTGTCGACGGGTCAACAGTGACGAATTTGTTTATTTAGCCGACCGGTTACTGATGCTGACACTGATATTGTATGTGAAACCCCTTAAGTAAAGGAAAGTTAAACTCTTAAACATCGATACGTCTTTTTGTGTAATAGTTGGAATTTCATCAAGAAACATTGCAGCTAAGTCAGCTCATGCTGGAGCAATTATTGGATGGGTGACATACTGGGAAGTTATATCAATATGACAAAATGGTGAGGCTCTTAAACCAAAGCAAACAATATATCTCAATAATTAAGATCTTAGATTATTACAAATAGTATTAGGGTAATAGACGAGCATAAGTATGGGAACTAAGCACCATACATTATAAAGTGATACACCATGGTATCCACCTCTTGAATCTTGTATGGGACAATGTGCTACATGACGGAGCCATCACTTGAACTTGTAGGGCGTCCTAAAATCTTATCTACCTGGTGGATGATTATGGGATAAAGATGTTGACGAAGATGTCAGCTACTTAAGTGGGTGAGATTATGAAACCCCTTAAGTAAAAAAAAAAACTAAACTCGTAAACAATGAGGCCATTTTTTGATATAATGGTTAGAATTTCATTAATAAATTCTGCAGTTAAGCGTGTTCATCCCGGAGTAATTATTAGATGGGTGACCAACTAGAAAGTTACACAAACAGGATAAAGCCGTGAGGCTCTAAAGCCAAATTAAACAATACCTCGATAGTTAAGAGTTTAGACTATTACACTGTAAAACACAATTGTAGCCAGGACATTTACTTGTTTAATAAGATTATTAAAATACATGTTATTGAACCACTACCAATGTACGACTTTACTGTTATTTCCACCAATGATGTTGTTGCTACTACTGTTCAAATATTATTGATATGTTGATCACGTGATATACATTGAGCATATGTACTAAACACTGAGTTGACATTGATATGATATTTATGAGCATATGAGATACACAAATATAATTATTTTAAATAATTTTACTGCATTGACATGATTTTGATAATTTTTATTGCTACTTTGATTTAATGTTTTATATGATTTCTCAACTAATTTTAATATTGATATGACGATTGATTTTTATTTTAGTAATTCTTTTGTACTTAGGATAGAGTTGTGATAGCATGCTTGTATATATACATCAACAAATTAGCTTGATTGGGCACAAATCTCGAGGCAAAAATTAAGCTCGAAACTTCAAAAACTAATTATGGGATCACCTGAACTCCTATTTCAACAAACTTAGAGTCAAACTGAGTGTCTCAGAAATATGAACCCAACGACACCAAATTTGACTCAATCCGAGCCCAAATGAGTCCAAATCAAGGACCCAAAGCGAGGTTAGAAAGTTTAGATCACAATTTGAGTTACCAAACGATTTCGAAACATACCGTGCTTATAGTCGATACGAGCGGCTCAACAAGATGAATCCAACGATCCCAAGATTGTTGAATTCCAACATCATTAAGACCTTCAAATGTCTTATAAACTATCCATAATCAAAGGATTCAATATCGGTCGTCCATCTGAACCACTCCATATTTGCCCCTAATCTCTTATCTATTTACGGGCCATGCTACTCCATAATATCTATAAATAGACCCCTTATTTCACATTAGAGAGGGCCCAAGCAAGAAGAGAAGAAGAGAAGATTATGAGGGAAGAAACTCCTCCTCGACCATTGCAGTCGGAATACTGCCCGACTTTCGAAGTGACACTGGAATTCCACTCGACTTTCAAGTGATGCCGGAATTCCGCCCAACTTTCCAGTGAAGCCAGAATTCTATCCGACGCCCAATTGACGTCAGAGTTATGTCCGACGCCCAAGTGACGCCAGAATTCTGCCCGACAGACCTCCACTCGTCGCCAGATTTCTAACTGACACCAGACTTCTACCCATTATTGGATTTTTGTCGAACATCTGTCCGATACTAGAATTATATCAATTGTTGGACTTCTATCGGATGTCATCCTTCTAATCTCTGTTGTCTATGTTAGACAACAGTCCTTCTGAGCCCTGTCACCCACTGACTATGGTCCTCCTGACATACGTTGCCCACCGACTACAATCCTTCCAACCTCCGTCGCCCGCCGACTACCACCCTCCTGACTTATATCGCCCACCGACTACAATCCTTCCGACCTCCATCGCCTGCCAACTACGGTCCTCCTAACTTATGTCACCCACTGACTACAGTCCTTCCGACCTCCGTCGCTCGCCGATTACGGTCCTCCTGACTTACGTCACACACCGACTATAGTCCTTCTGACCTTCATCGCTATACAACGGTCTTTGAGACTTACGTCGCCCACCGACTATAGTTCTTCTAACCCCATCGCATGTCGACTATGGTCCTCCTGACTTACGTTTCCCACCGACTACAGTCCTTCCGACCTCCGTCACTGGCCAACTATGGTCCTACTGAATTACGTCACCCACCGACTACAATCCTTCTGACCTTCATCGCCCGTCGATTACTGTCATCCTGACTTACGTCGCCCACCGATTATAGTCCTTCTGACCTTCGTCACCAAACAACAGTCTTTGTGACCCCCGTCACCCACTGATTACTGTTTTTCTAACCTCCGTCACCAGACTATGATCCTCCCGATCAAAAGAATATGTCAACACTGACTCTTTGTATTTACATCATGTAATGTATTCTATAAGATGTACATCAAGCAAAGGCCTTCCCTCAAGAAAATGCCTCATTTGTAATCAATTGTAATACTAATGGATTCATTTAAACTAGGCAAGGCCTAGTGATTTTTCCCCCTTTTTAGGGGACGCCTAAGTAGTTCCAGATCCGATGATAAATTCTGTTCTGGTGCTATAAGCACATCTGTTCTGGTGCTGTGAGCACGAAGAGAGGCATAAGGGGCCAGAATCCGAGAGATTCTGTCAGTGTCTGGGAAGGGAGGCATAAGGGGCTAGAATCCGTTGAGATTCTGTCAGTGTGAGGGAATCTGATATGTTCTGAATTTGATATGATTTCTGATTTTCGTACGATATCTGATTTGTATGATTATGATTCTGATACGATTCTGACACGTTTTTGTTCCGTTCTGATCTGATAAGGTTTAATCTGTTTTGATACGATCTGATTCTGATTTTCATACGAGTCTATCTGATTTGATCTTTAATCTGTTCTGTTTTGATGTGATTCGTTCTGTTCTGCTCTGTCAGTTATGTATTCTGATTTCTGTTCGAATTTCTGTTGTATGTGTGAGATGTGGACTCTGAGGATTTTGATTGGAGGTTTGATGTCTTGCTGAGCTATTGTAGCTCATCCTTATTTTCTGCATGGTTTTCAGGTTCTAAGAAAGGGAAGGAAGTCCAGGAGTAGAAGTTCAGAGTCTGATCTATTTTAGGTATTTTGCTCTTTTGATTTTTATACCGTCATGGCTTTTCTGTTCTGTCTTTCTTTCTATCTGAAAACCATGAGCTGTATTTGTATATGATTCTTTTGAGGAAGAAAAAATAGATGATCAGTTCCGCTGTGATTTGATGTTTTTAGTAGCTCTGTGTGTCTGTTTCTGTGAGTAATATTTGGAAGAAAGTTCTGAAACAAATTTCAAAGCAAGATCCTAGAATCGGTTCAGTCAGTTTCTGTCTGGCCCCACGACCCGATGCGAGCGGGATCCGTCCCGGTCGGTTTGGGTCGTGACAAAGCCTTTTTAGTGGTATCAGAGCAATGGTTTTAAAATTTGGTTGGATTGTAAGACAGGGCTATAGGAAGTGATCTGAGTCTGTCTGGGGTAGTTTTGGTTTGTCCGGATTTTTATTGTGTTGTTTTTGTGATTAGTGTTCTGGATTTTCTGGATTTTATGTATAGATATACCAGACCCCGACATGACAGACGGTCAGAGTGCTAGTCAGGCAGCACCAATGGGTAGTACAGCCCCAGTGGTTGGTGCAGATACACTTTCTCAGTTTGCTACTCTGGTTGCTCAGATGATGAGCGAGACTCACAGTAGAGCCTCTACTGTTCGATCTGAGGATATTAATAGACATCTTCAGATGTTTTTGAGATTGAAGCCACCGAGGTTTGAGGGCGCTCTTGAGCCCAGAGCAGCTGAGGAGTGACTGAGGAGGTTGGAAAAAACTTTTGACGGCATGCAGTGTCCGTTAGACAGGAAAGTATCGTTGGCTGTTTTTCTGCTAGATGGGGAAGCGGAACATTAGTGGGTAGGCCAGCAGGAAGCAAAGTTTCAGGGT